CAAAGCTGTATCACTTCAGGAGGAAATGTTTTATTTCTCTCTGCATTTTGTCTCCCATAACAGAAAGTAAGAAGTTTCCACTACACATTCACTGTTATGTGGGGAGTATTAACTAGCTCTTGGTGACACCACAGCGTGGTCCTGGGTTGTGTGCTGGTGGCTTTTGTTAATTTTGTTGTTGAGGGGGCAGTTATCTTTGAATTTCTCTTTTTTTAACTGCTCCTATGTGAGTGCATTTGCAATAGAAGCTGGCAGAGGAGCATTCTAGGTTTGTGTATGTGATTTTTAGTGTCAGGATTGGTAGTGATGCCATAGTTGATGCACAGTTTGGGAGAGGCAAGCCATGCTTCTTAGCTATAAGGTAGAAGCTCTTCCCTGTGAGGGTGCTGAGGCGCTGGCACAGGGTGCCCAGAGAAGCTGTGGCTGCCCCATCCCTGGCAGTGCTCAAGGCCAGGTTGGACACAGGGGCTTGGAGCAAGCTGCTCCAGTGGAAGGGGTCCCTGCCCATGGCAGGGGTTGGAGCTGGAGGAGCTTTAAGGTCCCTTTAACCCAAACCAGTCTGGGATTCTGTGGTCATGATTCTGTGTTTGGGTGCTCCATGATGTTCATAGTCAAAGTAAGAAAAATTCTATGAACAGGTCACAGGTATCTGTGGGAAGGGGCTGGATGCAGCATTGAGCAGTTTCTGGTATATTGAAATGCCTTCTGAAAGCACCATTCCTTGGTGCAAGAGGGTTTCCAGCTGTTTTATTCTCTCCTCATAAATAAGTAAATAAATGGTGTGTGTTGCCTGTGCCCCTTGCAGCGGGGTGTGCCCTGTATGGAGCTCTAGATACTGGTGTGTTCTCTCTGAAGGCTTTATCATTCATGGCCAAATGCTGTCAAACAGCATTTGTGTTTCATCACAGCCAGTGAACCAGCCCTGGGTAAATGATCTGTTTGGTTTCTCTTGTTTATGAAACCGATTCAGATAGGAAAAATCCCTCGAGTTAAAGGAGGATGGCTTGAAGGAAGTGAAGGTGTTGCAAGCACGCTTTGAAGGACCCACTAATGGCTGTTTGCAAAGTGGTGGGTTTAGGTCCCTTTTTGATGGGTTGCAAGTGGAGGGTTCCTTGGGCAGACCTTCACCTGTGATGGTTTTGCTTTACGGTGTCTGGGAAGATGGGGGGAGATGCTAGCGAACCTGTGCAAGGAAGATGTGGTTCAAGAGGCAGGAGAAGGAGCTGTGAGTCCTGCGCCTGTACCCAGGGGCTGGCCACGTTCCCCTTTGTGTTGCCAGTAAAGCTTTGGCAGTGTGGGAGTATTGGTTGGTTCAGTGTTTTAACTGGAAGCGTGGTCCAACAGACCCGTACTTGGGATGTGCCCCGGGGCCGAGGGAGCAGGGGAAGGCAGCAGCAGGCAGGGCAGCGGCAGCACTGCCATTTCATAACACACGATGCTGATTGCTTTAGTGAACGGTAGCCAAAGCCATGCCCTTTTTGGCTTAGGGATGAACAGAAATACCAAATGGGATTTAGGGAGATGTTGGAACGAGAAAGGAAAGTTGCATTTCTGGTATGGATGACTCGAATGACGCTCGACTCGTTCATGTGCTCAGCACATCTAGAGCCACAGTTAACAGTGGTTAAGGAGTATGCACAAGTGAATTTAGTGTTGGAAGTTTCTGTGAGCTTCCTGATGAATTTCCTGCTTTCTTTCAACTCTTTTGTATTGAGCTGGAGAAGAGGCACGAGGCTTGAGCAGGGTCAGTTGTGTAGTGAAGTCACGTAGTACCAGGGCTGTGCAGGGCGCAGCGGGGCCAGCTCTGCACAAATCATGACTCAAACCCCACACAAGTACAGAATCAGGCTGTAAAAGGGGAAACGCTGCACTGGGCTTTGGGCTTCTTTCCTGATTTCTGCTAGTTTTTGAACTTGGTGTTCCCCAGCTGTGGAAATTCAGGTGACTTTGGCCCTTGCTGCAGGGGCGTTCATCCTGTCTCCCTTAGCCTGGCTCTGCTCCTCAAAGGCGGTCACACTTTCACTCGGGCTTCCTGGGAAGAGGGAAGGGGAAATGATAACAGGATCCTCTTGATAGGAGCCAGTACAAGGTGACAAATTCATCTTCCACTCTCAGGCCTGGTGTGCAGGGCTTGAGGAGCAGAGATGCTGTTCCCCAGCCAAGAGGGTGGGGTAGGGGCGGCAGGAGCTCGCCTGCACCGAGCTGCTCCCGGCTGGTTTATCTTGTGGGAAAAGCTTTAAATCCGGGAGTGGGTGTGGATGTGGGAGAGGGAGCAGCAGTGCTGCCTGCATGCAGCGCCGGCTGGGTCTGCAGCGGTGCTGGGAGCAGCAACAGGGCAGAGCTTCCCATCAGTCATCATCGAAACCGGGTGAGAGTCATAGAACCCCAGCCTGGTTTGTATTGAAGGGACCTTAAAGCTCCTCCAGCTCCAACCCCTGCCACGGGCAGGGACCCCTTCCACTGGAGCAGCTTGCTCCAAGCCCCTGTGTCCAACCTGGCCTTGAGCACTGCCAGGGATGGGGCAGCCACATGGGAGCTTCCTTTTCTTGCCGGTGTGATGTGAGGCTGGGGTCTGCTCTGATTTGGTCATAAAACCTGAGGACTGGCAAATAGCACCAGTGACCCCGCAGTCAGTGTCGGACAGCGGATGTCAAAGGTTTGTTACCAGGGGTCTGAAAACTTGGCTTTGCAATCTCCTTTACGCGGAACGTAATCACCAGCAGTGTTGGTTCAGCAGCTCAGTCGAGTGCTTTGCAGAGTGCTCTGCTGCTTGCTTCTGAACCCAGGCACATTTGTCCTCTGTTGGCTTTCATGGATGTGGAAGATACAGATTTGACGGGAGGCTTGTCTGGAGCATGGAGTAAAGGAAGCCCCACTAACTTCATTCATTTACGCCTTTAATGCTAGTGTGATTTTAGTTACTTAGTACATTTTGTAGGCACTTAAAGTAGTAATTTAAAAGTGATTTAAAGTAGTGATCTCTGGGCAGGGGTTTAGAAGATGACATACAAACAAGCCTAACTTGAACACATTTAAACTGATAAAAACCCTAACAGATTTATAGGAAATAGCTAAGCCCAATCCCCATACAGTCAAAATGACTGCCCTTAAAGGTATTTATCATTTACTCTCTTACAAAAGAGTGGGGAGGAGTGGCAAAAAGTGATTAACCGGTAGAGCTCTGATGACTAATTTTACATTGACCTGGCAGGTATAGCCAGATCAGCTCTGGTTTCGCTCCAGCTCCAATCTCAAGTGGATCTTTGCTCCTTTCATGTGACAGTTTTGGCACAAGCAGTTTCTGCTTCAGTCCCAAGAGTTACAGTGATTGCTGATAGAATTTTGGAAGATGATGCTTGGCTCTGTGAGAAACAGCAAAGGCCTTTGTTGATATTTAACCCTCTCTTTGTGGAATGTAGGTGTAAAGTTCTCGGTTAATGTTGTATTCTTAGTGTATAGCTGCGTGCAGTTCACAGTGTGCTGAAGTCAGTGAGCTGCTCGAAGACAGGCTACTCCTATTCCTTGCCTCGCATTTTGCCTTTCGTAGTAAAATGGATTGATTCAGGCTGTTCCACTTGGCTTTAACTGGTCAGTATCCGGAATTAAATCAGATCTTTTCCCTGTTTTAATCCTACATGTAGAAGAAACTGGGCTGCAGTGTGAAGAATAAGCTTGTAAAGCCTCCAAGTTCTAGAACAAGTTGGCCTTTAACATCACAGTGATCTGGGCAGTTTGCTCACCCCATTCCAGCACAGGGGTCTCTCTCAGGAGGCAGCCTTGATGTTCGCTTGCAGTTACATGAGCTATTGTGAGTTTATCCTTTTTGGCATCCTCTTAGATGCCACTCCATTCAGAGTAATAGACAAAATGAAGCCAAATGAGTAAGGAATTACAGTAAGAGGCTAAAATGTTATTAAGGTGACAAGACTAATGGTTTTGAAACCGGTTGATAGGCTGAAGTGGTGTTCAGGATGGAATAACTGGGTTTGTGTAGCTCTCCAAGGCGTGCTGGAGCAAAGAGATAGATCTTTAAGTAATCAGGCAGCTGCCTGAAACCACAGAGCGGTGCTTTTCTAAGCAGAGGATATTTTCCTTGTAGACTGCAAATTCTATGGAAGAACATCTGTTTCTTTCCTGGAAGCACCTACCATAGTGCTTGCAGATCAGTAAAAGGCACACTTACAAACCTCTCAATACAAAGTGTAGCACATGCTAAAAGAGTCAGTACCACCTGATGTAGCATCGTGTTTACTCCTCTAAGTCCCAGCGCTTTATCAAGCTCAGAGGGAATCCTTTCCAGCTTTCTATTTTTATTGTGGTGCATCCCTTTGGCGTGTTTCTGTTAAGCAGCAAGACCAAACTGCAGAGCAAGATTTATAAGAGGGGAAATAAGGAGGTTTCTAATGTGCATTTTTGCAGTAGGAGAGCACGGTATGGTCTAAGGCAGAATGTGCAGTATGGCCAGAGCTCCCCTGAAATTATTGCTTTGGGTGGAAAGGTCTGTAGGGAGGAAGGGAGACCTGGAAACAACATCAAAGCTTGAGGTTAGGAGCTGTGGGTGAATGGGTGCCAATGAATGTATGTCAGCAGCAAAAATAAACTAAATCTACAGCAGAAATCAGGCACTGGATGGGTGGGGGGAGAAGGGAGTAAAATTGAGAACATCTGGGGGATGTGGAGGAGCAGAAGTGCTTTGGAGATGAATGGGAGATGTACAGCGTGGGCTGGGATAGCTAAATGATTCAAGCAGGTGAAATGGCTTCTTGCCTGAGGACTTTGCGAGGTTTTTTCACTCTTTGTATTCCTGCATGAACTTTCCCTGTCAGTTGTGAGCTGCAGGTTGTGGGCTGCAGCTCCCCTAAGCATGAAGTGCCTTAACCTGGACAGGAGTGAGGTCACTGACCATTGAGTCTCTGGGCAGAGCAGGTCCCGGGGCTCACTTGTGCTCTCCCATCCCTCCTCTTCCCTTCAGTGATGAGCGATTCTCTGTTTGTCTGCAGCAACATGAACCGTGAAGACCGGAATGTGCTGCGAATGAAAGAAAGGGAAAGGCGAAATCAAGAGATTCAGCAGGGTGAAGAAGCCTTCCCTCCCAACTCTCCTCTCTTTGCTGAACCCTACAAAGTTGTGAGTTTGTGCACAGCTCCTAGAGCAACCTCATATTCTGAATTCGTTTTTACCTGTTGTCTCTTTAGATCCACAGCTCTCACATCAACCAACTGTTTAAGCAGGGCTTGAAAACGAGGATGGACGGTTACCAACCAGCCCTGCTGGCAGATTTAGTATCTGTCTTATCTGCGAAGGGGTGGCTGCTTTGTAGGGAGTGAGAAAAGGGATGATAAGCCCATAAATTTCTTCCCCTTCAGCTTTTGCCACAGTGATTCAGAACAATTAAACTGTCTATTGTGTTCTACCAAATTGCTGCTTTTGGGGTGCCTTAGCCTGTTGCTAAACTTCCTAACCTTCAGGCAATGTAACCCAGACCTGGGTAAGTTCAGAAAGAGAATGTTTAAATAGGAGGTTAATTTTAGATGCTGAAATGCCTGGTGTGACAGAGTTATCAGCTGTAAGTGTAGGCCAGGAGTTTGGATCTGATTTTCCAGTTTGTTTTGAAGGAGTTGACCCTGAGCTTGTACAGCTTTAAGCCTGTGCTGGGTTTCCTCCCAGGCTTGCTTTGCTGAACAGAGCTGGAAAAAATAACCTAAATCTGGGCTAGCTAAAAAAGAACCATTTCACATTATATTTAGGTATTCTGTGCTTGATAACCAAATCCCACACGTATGAAGTTAACTGGAGCTGGTTGGGATGCATGGGTAGTGGTGCAGCGTACCTCATTTGGAAACCAAACTGCTTATGTAAGAAAGAGCCCTTCCAACTGTTGGCAACAAGAATTATGCCAGGATAAATAGCAATTAAAAATGCAACACAGAGCTGAGGTTAAGCTGATTTTATTTTACTGTTAATTAAAAGCTTTTAGGACTGCTGTGTTCTCTGAGAGAGAAATAGTCTTTAAGGCAACAGGAGGCACCTATAGCTTCTAAACTTGCATTTAGCTCACCAGTGCAGTATTTGAAGCAGTGATCAGTGCTGTTTCAGCTGCTCCTGCTGCTGAAGTACATATTTTCCTTCGTTTTAGGGAGTTAAATTACTGCTTTAAGAACTAAAATGGGGCTGTACAAAGAATGGCGGAAAAAGGCTGATATTAGCCATGATCTTAGCCCTGAAATTCAGTTTAACTGCAGTAGCTGTCAAATCGATGAACTGAACGTGAAGTTGTGACTTTTTAAAAGCATTGTTTGTTCCGATTCTTTCTGCAGACCAGCAAGGAAGACAAGTTGTCCAGTCGGATTCAGAGCATGCTTGGTAATTATGATGAAATGGATGATCTTATAGGAGACCGCTCAGTACAAAAGCTTGTTGGAATCCCCAAACCAACCGTACCATCAGCACCAGATGACAAAGCAAACCAAAGTTACTTTGGTGATCAGAGACATAATCCCAGCTCCCATCAGAGCAGCAAATGGACTCCTGTAGGACCAGCACCTAGCACTTCCTCACAATCCCAGAAGCGGTCCTCAGGTTTACAGAGTGGGCACAGTGCTCAGCGCGGCAGTGGCAATAACAGCGGCAGCAGCGGCCAGAGGCACGACCGTGACTCCTACAGTAGCAGCAGCAGCCGCAAAAAAAGCCAGCATGGGTCTGAACACTCCAAACCACGTTCTTCCAGCCCTGGAAAACCATCTGCTGTTCCTTCGTTGAGCTCCAGCCATTCGAGATCTCATGGAAGTGATCACCACAGTAAAGAACATCAACGTTCCAAGTCTCCCCGGGATCCTGATGCCAACTGGGACTCTCCCTCTCGTGTACCCTCATTTTCGAGTGGACAACACTCTAATCAGTCTTTTCCACCTTCACTAATGTCCAAGTCCAGTTCAATGTTGCAGAAACCCACAGCGTACGTAAGGCCAATGGATGGGCAGGAATCCATGGAACCAAAGTTATCTTCTGAACACTACAGTAGCCAGACTCACAGCAGCGGGGTGAATGAGCTGAAGCCTAACAGCAAAGCACATCTAACCAAGCTGAAAATCCCTTCTCAGCCACTAGAGGTAAGCTGCTGTTGGTTTCCTGGCTTCTTGAATGTGAGTCCCTTTGGGCTGGGATTTTGCAGCTCCTTTAAAATCCCAATCTGCATAACTAGGATTTAGTTTTTAGTAATCTCTGGGTTTGTTGTTACATGAAGCATCTTAAACATAGGCAGTGAAGAACTGAATTTTAACAGGGGAATGCACAAAAGTAATTGCATTTTCTTTCTGCTGCTTCCATGTGGATACTCTGATTTTTTTATTCAGTAAAGGCTCTGAGACATTGAGAAAGGCTGACTTAGCAGAGAAGCTAATCTTCATAGAGTATTTCTGTAGTCAGAAGTTAGTAAAATAGTGGGATATTCATAACTATTTTGCCAGGTTAGATACCTATGTTGTTGTTTCTGGGAGCCACGTTGCCTTAGGCTGGTGATACTGTCTGTGTCTATCAGGTTTCCTTTTGAAGTGTGTAACAATTACTAGATGCGATCATTAACCTTCACCTAGGGAAAATAAGCAAACCCTAAAGCACACTGAATTGACCAGGGTTCAGAACCTTTATCAGTTATGCTGGATACAAAACACTATTGGATTGGCAGCTTTTAGCAGCTTGGGAATTCTTGAGTGGTTAAGGCACAGACGGAGTGCAGCTCACTGACAAGGAAAGTGCCTTTCTTAATAGAAGTGTCATTGCCTCTCCTGTTTAACTGCTTGAATTATGGTAGAGAATTGAGCTAGAGAAAAGCCTTCCTGGGACTTCAACAAATAGCGAAGTAAGATCTAGGACATGGGGAAGGGAATTGGAAAAGAAATTATTTTGTTATTTGTGAAGACTTGACATGCTAATGCTGGTGCAGTGAATGGTGTCGTTGCTTTGCTCCCTTCTGCCTGTAGTGGTCAGGGGGCAGGAGGTTCATAGTGTCATAATTATTGCTGTTTCAAGATTCAGGCTGTGATTCTGTTTGACTTCGTAATGCAGTTCGTCATGACTGTGTGTTCGTGGTCATGCATTTGAGTTCAGATGTTACCCCTGGCTTCTTCCAGGAAATGATGGAAAGCTTTGTATGATTCCCCTTCCTCTCTCTCCACAAGTTTTTAATAGCACTGACAGGCTGTGATCTCTTTAACTGTCAAGTGAAAAGTAAGAGAATATTGTCACAGCTTTCGAGATCTCATGTATTTGATTTTCATAACTGGCTGTGACTCATACCAGGAAAATATGGATCTATCAGAGACTAAAATTAATGTTGATGAAAAGAATTAGCACGGTCTGTTTGTATCTAGGGTCCATATGAATCATGCCAAGGATTGAAGTTTATTTTTAACTGTTTCTAGCCCCTGGAATCTTTTAAGGAAGATTTGCTTTAGGAGATGTTAACCCTGACTTTTGATTTGTAGGCATCAGCATCTGGTGAGGTGAGCTGCGTGGATGAGATTCTAAAAGTAAGTCCTCTGTGCTTTTGTTCCTAACTTATTTGTTCAGAATACAAATATTCCTAAGGAGGTGGAAAGTACTCAGCAGTTGAGTAGTGCCTTTTAAATCGACTTGGCTGCAAATTGTTACAGGAGGGCTCTTCAATTACTCCTCTAGCGTAGGTTGGCCGGGGAAGACTGAAAGCGGAGCTGGGCTCTGGGCAATGCTGGGTGTGCACATCATCTCCTGGATATCCTCACTGCATTCCTGTTCTTGCAGGCCACCTCCCTGTTAACCAGAATTGCCCATTTCTTCCCCCAAAATACAGTCCTCATATCTTTCAGATTATAGTCATTCTTTTGGTACCCATGGCAGAGCTTTCCCTTCTCTTCTACCCGGGTTATTTTCTCAAGTCTTCATGTCATGTGTCTACTCCGTGGTCCTTGGAGACACCCTGAGAGAACACTTTCCTGCTTCAGGCATTTGATTTTCCCGTTTTCTCCTCAAACTTCATAGGTTTCCCTTTCCTAGGATTCTTCTTTCTACCCCTGCATCCTCCATGTTCTCTTCACAGTCTGAATTGATCAGACTCTGCCTTCTGCTGCATTTTATGTTCAGGCCAATCCATTTTATTGATTTATGCTTTCTGCTTGTTATTATGTCTTGACTCGCTGTTCTCATAGATAGCAATTTAAAATTTAGCTTTACGTGCAGAATCTTTGTTACCTGTTCAGCAAATAAAGCTCAGTGAAGTGTGGACAGTGAGCTGGAAATGGAGAGGCAGGGTTACCAATTGAGTCAAGACTGTAACTTGAAATCTTTGCTTTAATTTTTGTTAATAGCTTTCCTTTTTTGTTCTGGTTGTAGGAGATGACCCATTCTTGGCCTCCTCCACTGACTGCTATTCATACACCATGCAAAACTGAACCGTCAAAATTTCCTTTTCCAACAAAGGTCAGTGCTGTAGCCAAACGCTGAATGCTGTTGAAAGACTAACTCTTGTTAAAGAGCAGGGTTTTGGAACTCTCTTAAGTTCAATTCTTTATAGTTCTGGCTTTGTTTCAGTGCTTTGTATCTCTTTTATCTTGCTTCACAACATCGGTCAGCAGTAGCCTTATGAAGAATGCCATTGGTTTTTCTCTGCTTCACACACCCAGAGCAGTGAGCAGGGATGTCAATAATAGAACTTTCATTTTACTTTTAGTTTCATAAATTCAAGCCTTCTTCAGGATATTTGTGAAGCTTGAAGATGCCATTGAGCCTTTTTCCCTGTAGGGAATCTTTGCACCATTTTGTGTCGAACCAAGCAAGCATGTTTGTCTCCATCTGGTAGAGTAAATGCTAAGAAATTTCAATGTACTTTTCTGCATAAACTGAATTTTCCTCATCATTTTGAAGTCCTTTAGTAGTGCTGTTAGGTCTTACGTTTTCAGTTACCAAGAATATGACTAGAACAGTTTAAAAATCAGATGTTTTGCTAAAGAAATTTTCAGATTCTTCCCGAAGATCCCTCCCCAACCTCCCGTGTACTGAATAACTACTGATGTGTTTAAGCTATTAATTCTAACGAGAAATCAGTTGTTCTTTGCTGCTGTTGACAGCACAGGGCACGTTTCCAGGAGACCTGCTGGAGCTGACACCTCTGAGGAAGGAGTTCTCTTGCTGGCTGCTTGCTGCCTCCCCCAGGGCTGGGTCAGCAGCCCCAGCTCCAGGGTTTCCCAGCACACAGGCTCTGGTAATGCTTTGCCTTCAAATCCAGCTCTGCCGTCTGCAGCGCCTGGAAGCTGCTGGGTAGGCAGGGCAGATAGCTGGGGGTAGCGACTTCTGCAAGCACAGCTCAGCTTGCACTAGCTGACTCATCCAAGACTTCATGGTTTGTTTCCTGTATTTGCTGATTACCAGAGCAGGATTGAACTCAGTAATACAGTTTTATTCCAGACTCAACATATCTGACATGGATTGGGGTACTCCACCCCTAACTTGGCATAACTTCAGAGTGAAGAAATTACACTGTTTGTCTTCATAATAATTAAGACTACCCTTTTCCTGGCCAGACTGCTGCTCTAGAGCATAGCTTGCTGCTCTCAGCTTCCTCTTGGAAGCAAATTACTCCCCAAAACAGAACAGTTCACTAAGGTACTTTAGGAAGATTCTCTCATTGAGGTCTTTAATGTAATCTGTCTGAACCGATTGTTTTATGTGACTGCTTCAACACCAGCTTCTTTCAGCCAAAGGTTCCAGGTCTCACATTAAGTGCACATCCACAAAACTCCCACAGGCTGGTGCTCAGTTAAACAGTTCATGTTCCTGTGCTGGGTAATATCCCAGAACTATGGGCAGTCCTGGGGTCATCACCATTTGCATTGCACATTCTCTCTTCCTCACTTCTCTCCAATGAATTGAAAATGGAGAACAAGCCATAGAGTTCTCAGCCTTCCTTTTGAAGGCTTATCTGGAAATAAATCTCCTTGTCTATTTTCTTAACTGTAGATCAATATTAATCTTGCATATATTACCTTCAGTCAGGGTTTAGCTGCTGTGTGACATAAAACTGCACTTGAAATAGTTCTTAACCTTTATTATAAAAGAAAGAAATTCCACATCTTTCCTCATTGACAAAGGTACTTCACTGCTTTGGCTATTTATTCCTGAACCTTCAGGGAAATGCTCCCCTTCACTCTCCTTTCAGTACATTTGCTAGAACTGCTTTTGCCTGCGTTTCTCTGGTATTTGCCTCAGTTTGGGAAGAAAGGAGGTGTGCAGCGATAAACGTGTCTCTGTGATGCAGAGAGAAGCTACGTAAGACTGCACGGTGTTGTTAATGTTTGAACGAAAAAGGTAGGTTGTGGGGTTTTGAAGCGATCCACCCGGATTGTGCAGCTTCACCCCGTGTGCAAGGAATTCCATTTATGGCTCCTCGGAGTCTTCTGACTTTGCGCCAGCTTTTTCATTTTGTGGCTGCACATCTTAGCCATGGAGCTCTGTCAGATTCTCTCCCAGTATCCAAAGCCTATAATTTCCTCTGCCTTTCCCCTCTGTCATTCTTGGCAGCAGCATCTTTGCAGGATTCCAGTGAGTTAGTGAGCCATAGGCTTGTGCAGTCTGGACCCAGAGCAGGATTCAGAAAGCAAAACAGGACAGTGGTTTGCTTTAATCCAGCAGTACTGTTTGGGGCAAGCTCATTCTCTGTGATACTGCACTCACTTCATTGGCAAGTAATGTGCTCAAGTATTTCACAGCATTCCTCTTGTGGGCTGAAGTTTGGTGTGTTTTGCCTGCACGCAGAATTCAGCTCCCTTTGGTGAAGCAGTCAATTTGCTGCTAAGACTGTTGGGATAGGATCGTTTTCCCTGTGTGTAGATAGTGAGTAGCTTGAAGGAACTGACTGGGGCCTCTCTGGTTACTATAAATATATCTAACAGTTGTCAGGAAGTCTTTGAATCAGGAGATGAAACTTCATGAAAATAGGTCAGGGGAGGGTTTCTGCAGAAAATGGAGATTCCTGAGTCTTGATAAAAAGTGTTACCGGTGACCCAATGCTATCATTTTGTCCTGTGCAACTTTATTAAGCCGTGGGCTCGCAGTGAAAACCTCCAGAGACATGGGCATGTTTGTAAGATAGGTTAAACCAAGCTATTTTAGAGGGTGGAAGTTGTATGTTTCAAAGCAATGTGAGAGGATTGGCAAGGTTTTGTCCCTGCAGACCCGAGCAGTGACCTGTAGGAATCTCTGGAGATGAGGACCCTGTCTCCGGGTTTATTCAGTGCCTGCTCCTTGTTGGAGTTACTGCAGAGGCCTCAAACTGCTGCAGTACAGGAACGTCTGAGAAACAGAAATGAGACCTGACCTCAGATTTCAAGCATTAAATGGAAACTGGGGCTCCGGCCAAGCTGGTAACCTGCAAATGAGAGCTTGGTACCCCACGGCCATCCTGTCCCATTGGCCAACGCTTTTCTCTCCACAGTTCTTGTGTCCGTTTTTGTTTCCTGCTTAAGTGTCTTCCCTGTCGAACCTCAGCAGTCTATTATACTTTGGTTAAAAGGGTTTCCTTCCTTTAAGTTGTTTTTAATGTCGTCTTTGTGAAGCAGGCCTTCAGAACGTGCAGCTATAAATAACTGGAGTTGAAAGGAGAGCTTTTTTATTTTTTTGAATCTCTGAGTTTCTTAAAGAAATATTTATTCAAAGGCAGAATGGATGGCGAGAGAGTTGGAAAAAGTTGCACATCTCAACATAACACCTCGTTAAAGCGCACTTCACTGAAAGGCTGCTCTGTGCCTTAGAAATGGGAAGTTGACTCCAGCGAGCAATTAGGCAGGTGTTTGCTGCAGGGTTCCTGATACATGTGCTGGTAGGAGCGGGGCCCGTTCCTCCTCCTGTGCTCCATAGATGTGGGGTTTGACCACCGTGTGGTCTTAACCTCTTTTTTGACTTGGAGCTTGTCAACTTCTCTAAGGTGACAGTGGGAAAAGGCAGTCAGGGAATCGTGCTTTCACTCTTTGTACCTATGTAATGGGTGACAATCAGGTTTTATTCTGAAGGAAGTGTTGCTGTTGCTTTCCATTGAAGTCCCAAGGCTTCTCTCCAAGCCGCTTCACTTTGCAGGTTGATTTTACTTTCATTGCCCCTTCCTTTCAGTTAGTAAAGATTAGAGGCATTTGCAACCCCTTATTACAAGGAAAGCTCCCAAACAAGTTCCCTATCAACAAACTACTTGAGTGCATTTTTGCAACTGCTGTCACGCTTGAATTAAAAAGCTGAGGGAAACAAGAAATACCCAAGTGAGCTTTGCTGTGCAGAGAAAGCTTTTGTGTGTTTAAAAAGCCAAATTCTGTAAACTGTGCCCGTAACTGCTGCATGTCACTGCCTCGGCTGGTTGGGAAAACTGGGTCACAGCTTTACCACAAATCCTGGGATTCATTGTTGAGTTGCAGTTCTGATTTGCCACTGCCAGAGCATTTAAGCAAGAAGTGTGTGTATAACATCATGAATTGAGCCAAAGATTTGCGAGTTAGATTTATGGGGCCAACATTTGTCCTCATTTTAAAATGAGGTCAGGAAGGTCCTATTTTAAAAGGGCACTCGAGCCTAGAAGTAGGTTTTCAGTAACTCGGTAGCCTCTGTGTGTTTGTTTGTTGAAACAGTATTGTAGGGTTTCAGAAAGCAATTACACAAGTGCTAACGTTCGCAAGGCTTTATCTTCCATGGCTTGATTTACAGGTAACAGGTTCATTATATACCAAAGGAAGCTGCATGTCCTTGTTTACTGGCTTCTGTACAAGTGACTTGTGCAGTCACATGAAGACGTGGCCTTTGCAGGGAGGAATGACATGGCAGCCAGCTCTGCTGGGCTGCGTTTGCCAGGACTGGCTTGGAGTTAGGTGAAAATACATAAAACCAGGAGCAAAGCTTGTCTGTGTATAAGAAAGATAAAGAAAAAGCCACTGAAGAGCTCCTCTCTGTGCAAACATACATGAGGATGGGGTTTATGGACATTACATAGGGGTTTTGGTGTTTTGGCTGTCATCTAATACAACTGCATGTGGCCCTTCTTAAAGCTCAGCAAGTGGGAAAGCTGTGCTGAGGAAGAGGAGTTGGAAGTGCTCCTTCCCATGAGGGCTGGTGAGAGGTGCTGGGGCCCAGATAGCAAATCCCTCCTGTATTGCTGGGTGTTTTCTGCAGGGGTTGGGTGCCATCCTTTGGGTTGAAAGAGCAGCTTGCTTCCAGCATGGCTTTTGATGTGTTAAAATTCCCAGTGAAAACCCACTTGTGATCTTTTATTCCCTTAGGAGTCTCAGCAGCCCAGTTTTGGCACGGGGGAGCAGAGTAAGTATATGAAACTTCCTGTAATATGTTCAGTGTTTTGGTTGTGATTCACTTTTCTCAGCACCTCCTGCTCTTTAGGGAATGAGACTTTCCAGACTGGTGTTGGGATGGAGTCGAAGTTAAGAGTTTCGTTACTTTCTCAGGTTTTAACCTCTTGAACAATTGCTTGCTTCTGTGTCACGGTTCTGTTGTGACCTAGAAAGCTGTAACTGAGTTGCAAGGTTGTTATTGTCTTCTAGGGAAAAAACAGTGGGTTTAATTTGTCGTTTGTTCTAATCCTGGGGAAAACGCCTCCCTCTGTGCTTCATGGGACTGAAAATAGCGGAGTCCTAAACCAAAACACCCTGTAAAGAAACCAGCTGCCTGCTTGGAGATACGCTGGAAACCGAGATAGGGCTGGTGCTTACATTGCAGCCTCGCTGTTTGTTTTCACTCTGTTGTTTTAAAAGCAAAAGCGAGGACTGGAGAGGAACTCACACAGTGATAGGCTCAGTAATAACATTGAATTTCATGCCCCAAAATGCATTTTCAGATTTCAGACAAAAGCAGCTTTAAGTTCTCTTATCGTTGTTTTGGATATTACTGGAGTTAATAACAGCACAGGTAACTACCAGGTAAAATTGAATTAGATTTGCGCTGTTCCCTTCCAAAAGTCTTTCCATTTCCTCTGGAAGTGATTAAACAGATTAAATAGTAACAGAGGAATGATTTGTTCTTAGATATTCCCATGCAGCTTAATCTGAACACCTATTACCATGGGAAATTAAGGAAAGAACTCAAATCCAGAATCCTAAACCATAGACTTCGTTAGAGGAGCAACTGATCTTTAGGGCTGTGAGCAACGAGGCAAAGTTAATCAAAACCCAGCACCAGTTTTCAACTCCTGTTTGAATTCTCTGGGAAGCTTTTGACAGCCCCAGTTCTAGTTTCTGTTCTACCTTTACCTATTTGCCAGAACTAAAGAAAAGGGAAGGAAAAAAGCCCCAACCCAAAAAGCAGATCACATCCGAATGTATTCCTGCTTTAAGAACTGACTTCTGACTTTGATTTCTGGATGTAAAGATTGGTCACTTACTGACAAGCTGCAAAGGGACAGGCTGGTTTACATCCTGTATCCTGCATGTCGAAGGCAACAAATTAATCTTGATAGAAACAAAACAGCTTTCACACCATCAATAACAAATTGTGTGTTGGTTCAGAAAACAATGATTTACATCATTTTCTAGAGTTTCTTGATTCACATTTGCTGTATTTAGTATTTTGTCTCTGTATCCACTCACTTCTCTGTTCCTTTTGGTCTGTTGGAGATTGTACCTTGTGTCAGTTAGTTACTACTTTCTCCTGTCTAGTCAGCTCTTCCTGGTTTCTCTCTGTCTGTATCCTCTTGGCAGCTTTGCAGTGCCTTGTTTTGCTGGCTGAGTTTTCACGTTGCCTTTCTTCTTTTTCTTCTTCTAGAACGTTATAATCCTTCATCGAAAACATCCAATGGTCACCAGTCCAAAGCGTAAGTGGCTGCTGAGAAAACCTTTCACAAGCAATAGTCGGATCTTAACAGACTTGGACAATAGCAGTTTCTTTCACTAGGATGTGTCAGCTCTTGCACAGACACTTTCACATACTTCTGCTTGACTGGCACAAAAAGGGGATCATGGTTAAGCAGCCATTTTCTGGGACATTAGACCAAGTATTGCTCACTGGAGTGAGTAACACACACCCTGTGCTGCCTCTCCATTCCCCTGGCTTCTTGTCAGTTGTCAGGATAAATGTGTGAGAGTGTGGACCTTAGAGTCAGCTTGGGAGCCGCAATGGTGTCAGCACGTAGGAATGGGCAGGATGGGGCTGGACTTCCTAAACGTGTGCATTGCAGAGCTGTCAGCTGGAAGCAGCTTGTGGTAACAGCACAGATAGACAGGGTGGGAACTGGTTTGTACTGGAGGAGACAGGAAAGTGTGTTTGGGATCTAGTTGAGTTTGTTCTGCTCAGTGTCTGAACTGACAGACATTTCCATTAGTAACACACAGACCCAATGTTTTACTTTGTCAATCGTGAACTGGAGTTAAAAAGGCAGGTGGAATATTCTAGATGGGTGTAGTGCACCTTTCTCACACCTGGGAATCAATACAAGCTGTTAAAAGATTGTTTCCAAACAAATACGGCAATGAAAATCAATGATTAGCAGCTGGTTGTATGTTTAAGGAGAGCGTTTGTAGATTCCGAAAACTGAATTAGCATTTGTTGTGATGCAGCCACAGATGAAGTCTAGTTCTGCTTGTCTGTGCGCATGTTACAGAGTTAGCAAGATTAAAAAGCCTATGAGAAGGAAACAGAACAAAAAGAACCCCCCTCAGTTACTGTAGACATACAGTCAGTTTGCTTAAGATGCTCACCTGCAGCCAGTTCAAGGAGTGGTGGAAATACAAGTTCACCATTTGGCTTTGCTTCTGTCACAACAGTATAGACCAAAAAGGAACTGTGCTGTTCCCAAAGCTGGGGGCTGTGAGAATAAGAATTGGTGTTGGACTGGGATGCGCAGGAAGAAAGCTGAGATGATGTTTCCTGTGACATCCAGTTTAAAATCAATAAAACCCCCTCAGTGGTTGTGATCTGGTCAAAACAACTTTAAAAAGGGGAGAGATGCATCTTTTGTAGAGGGATAGCAATGAAACATTTCAGAAGCAGATGCTAGAGGCTGGTGTTCCTTTTCAGATCACCAGCAGAGCAGCTGGGCTGTGAACCTCGGATGTGTTGCACTTCTAATCCTTTCTCCTTTTCTTTTTCCAGATGCGAATCGAACCAGACAGAGTAAGATGTTTCGCTTCTGTAATCCAAGGGGGTTTCAATAAGTACAAAAGCCCTGTAGTCTTGCTTGGTGTTTTCAGTGCGTTCACCTATTTTGTGTTGTGAAACAGTGTGTGCATGTATGACTACCATCAATAATGATGGCTTTGAATAATAGTAATTATGGCTTACAACAGTCGCAGTGTTGCCATGAGACAGGAAACAGCCCCTAGTGTTAGCCTTCTTCATTCTATTTAAAACAATATTCCTGGCCATTGTCTGTAAGTTAACTCCTCCTGCATCAGTAAATTGTGTCAAATTTCCTTTCTGAATTGAACAGAATGGACTGAGGAGTCTCAGTCCCAGAATCCTTGTTCTTCTCCAAAGAATGACTGAACTCACCATTCTTGAACGTTAAATGCTAGAATGGTGTCTTGTGGATTTCACCCACGCAGCCTGCTCTGTAGTATAAACAATAGCATGTTGAAATATAGAAGAATGCTTTGAAAGTAATTAAAGTACATGGAAAAACTTGTCTCACTTTCTCTCTTTTACTTAGTATGTTGAAAGATGACTTAAAACTTAGCAGTAGCGAAGACAGCGATGGAGAGCAGGTATGTTCCTTCAATCAGAGCTTCTGAAATAGAGCAGTGTTCAATATTCCACCAGCAAACTGGGCGGCTTAAGAGGAGGTTTATGATTAAAAACCAAATAGAATGTTTTTAGACAAACCTCCTAAATGTGAACTTGGGGAAAATTACCTGTTTTGTGGAAACAGTATGCTTGGATTTAGAAAATCTTCTTTTACTGATTTCAGGTGGGCTTTCTCTGAGCATAAAATGCCAATAGTGTGCTTTAAACATATGGGGTGTCCCACCATTCAAAGGTAGAACCTTTGATACTCTGCCACTTCAGCTAAAGAGTACATGGTATAAACTTCTCTGCACATTAGTAGCTTGGGACTGACCTTGGGATAATAAGGGATGCTGTATCTGTAACCAGGAGTATATAGCAGCACCTTTATTTTGTTGAAAGTCTCTTTTCTCCTCTTTGTCAATACTAACTTGGTGCAGCTTCTGCCAGAAATGGCATTTAGCTAAGTGAAAAGTCCCTGGAAGGTCTGTGCTACCCTGCAATGAGCCACACTCCTCTCCTGCTCTTTTGCTACCTGTTCCCAGCTCTAGTACTTGATCTTCTTCATGTGGAAGACCCTGAGGTCGTACATTCAGTTGGTTAATTCCTGCTACTCTGGCATTTGGGGATATGTTGTAAAACGTTGAACCATCTCATTCAAAAAAGATGAAAATGTATTGAGTGGTGGAAATAGGAGCTCTTAGAACTGCAGTCAGAATATATGGGACTCCCAGATGATAGATTTATGGTGAGAACTTGGAGAAAATAACTCTGGTTTTCTGTAGAAGGAAAATGCAGACAAATTTACACTGCAGCAAGCACTGAATTAAGATGCTGTAAAGGCTCTAAATTGATGCTTTGCAACTGAAGTGTATGTACAATCCTAAATAACTTCTGGAAGTTTCATGCTCCTTTCCTTGATTGCAGGACTGCGATAAGACAGTGCCAAGGAGCACACCTGGAAGGTAGGCATTCCTGCTGCACTGCACAGGGAGAGCAGAGTGCTGATGTTCAGCACTGTCAGCGCTCCTGACTTCTAGATTCATGTCTGGGTTTCATCTTGTATTAAAGCAAAAGGCAGTTAGAATTGAATCGGTGATTAAATAGCATAGATGCTGCTAACTACACTAACCGCTTTGGGAAGGGGGGAAACAAAGACTGGTGTTTGTTCCAGTGTGAGCTGTGCGCAGTTATGTTGAGTTTTCTCATAAATGTTGATTAAAATACTACATTTTATTATTTCTAATGCACGAATTCTGGGATCTGTTTGTGCCTTGGGTGGTGTTTGTTAATTTTCCCTCATTTTTGGTTTCAGTAACTCTGAACCTTCACAGCATAACAGTGAAGGAGCAGATAATTCACGGGATGACTCGAGCAGCCATAGTGGATCTGAAAGCAGTTCAGGATCTGACTCTGAAAGTGAAAGCAGTTCCAGTGACAGTGAAGCTAATGAACCATCCCAGAGCGCATCCCCCGAGGTACAGTTTGACATGGATTTGGGCTCTCTTCATTGGCTGGGCATTAATCCTGAGTTTTAGAAGCAGAAAAGAGTACTAAAATCAGGGATTGTTTTCAAGATAAGCTGTTCTTTTGCTGAAGCACCTGTGGTTGGATATAGTGACAATTCTCTGTATAAGCACACATTTGAGGTTTGAATTTGAGGTGCTTTTTGCCACCAATTACCTGTTGGGGAGCAGAAGTCAGATATGGTAACAGCACCCTAAGAAGCTGCAGGCTCTTAGTGTGGAAAGCCATGGCAGCAAATACTGCCTGTTGCTAGCAGCTGCTCCAGAGGAAGGGAAGAGCTGTTATTTATACCTGTATTCATGAACCTCTATCTCATTCCTTGTTTATCTCTGTTATTCTGGTGTATCTCTTGCTTGGCCTGCAGCATCTTACAGCTGTGCCATGGGAAAGATGGGAGAAATGTGAAATACTTTATTTAACACTGGGGTTTTTGCTTGTTTTTTTAGCCAGAGCCACCACCAACAAACAAGTGGCAACTGGATAACTGGTTGAACAAAGTCAATTCACACAAAGTATCACCAGCTTCTTCCGTGGACAGCAATATTCCATCTTCCCAAGGCTATAAAAAGGAGGGACGGGATCAGGGCACAGGGAGCGGATACACTGATCAAAGTGGATCCAAGGATTCCATTTCCTCTACACCGGGGCGCGATTCCAAACCCACCCAAAAGGGCTCGGAGGGCAGTCGTGGCAGGCAGAAATCACCTGCCCAGAGTGACAGCTCCACACAGAGGAGGACTGTAGGTAAAAAGCAGCCCAAGAAAGCAGAAAAGACATCTGTTGAGGAGCCTAGAGGAGGTCTTAAAATAGAAAGTGAAACCCCAGTAGACATGGCAACAAATATCCCTTCCAACAGGCATAAGGCAGCCACAAAAGGCTCCAGAAAACCCAATATAAAGAAAGAGCCCAAATCTTCCCCCCGGCCTACAACAGAGAAAAAGAAATACAAGGCTTCAAGCAAATCTGCCCAGAAATCCAGGGAATTCATAGAAACAGATACCTCATCCTCTGATTCAGATGAAAACGAGAGCCTGCCTCCTTCCTCACAAACACCCAAATATTCTGAGAGCAATAGGACTCCTGTTAAATCTTCCATGGAGGAGGATGACAGCTTTTTTCGGCAAAGAATGTTCTCTCCTATGGAAGAGAAAGAGCTTCTTTCACCACTCAGTGATCCTGATGAAAGGTACCCCCTCATTGTGAAGATTGACCTGAGCCTCTTATCAAGAATACCAGGGAAGCCTTACAAGGATGCTGACGCACCCAAAGTGGAAAAGAAACCCGTGCCAGAGAAGCACACGAGAGAATCCCAGAAGCAGCCGTCTGACAAGAGTTCTACAAAAGGCAAAAGGAAACACAAGCAGGTGATGATTTTGTAGGGTGAGATTTGCCTGTGCCTCAGCCCCTTGGGGCATCGCTGCTGGTGTCTCACACACATAGCCTAGTAATGCAGTTCGTACCTCAGTGCGGTGACTGAGCAGTTTAGGAGATGGTTTTGTGTTGTGTAGAACACATGGATCATCCCTGTGGTGGTAGAGACTGGTGGGATTTTCCTTTGGAGTGAAAAGGGGAAGGGAGAAGGTTGCACTTGCAGCTGGAGCTCATGGAGGTAGCACAGCTTCTGTACCTGTGGGTGCTGCATCCTGCCCTCTCATGCCTCCACTTGATCTGGCACAGCCCCTGTTGCACTGCAGGCCACCTCAGGAAGCTGATCCAATGGAAAATTTACCTGGCCAAGAAAAAGGTAGTTCTCAGCTGGATCAGCTCTGTGAGCCAGTGAATCATGCAGCTGCATAGTGCCAGGACAAGGGATGGGGCAGAAATGGGCCTGGGGCATGGCTGCAGCAGAAACTGATCTCAGGGGTGCTGCTCTACTGGGAGCAGAGGAATCTCTCCATAATGATACTTAATATTTTGCAAAAAAGCATTTCATCTTTTCACCTATAAATAAACAGCAGGGATACCTGGGGGCAGTGAATGCACAGGAATCGATGGGGAGCTGAATAGAAGTGATACTCTTGAGGGTGGGAATGGTGAGAAGTTGGCAGTGTCATCTTAAACTGCTTTTAGAAACCTCAATAGACAGTCTGTATAAAGAGCAGACCCGTCAGAGGGACTCAGTGATCCAATAAATGTTTACAGGTTCCTGGTTTCCATGCAGTCAGCACTGTGCAGCCTGGATCAGAAATGGGATTTCATCCTGAATATTTCATTTTGACAGGGATTTGTGAGTGGTTGTGAGACTGTTGACACCTGGAATCAAAGGATTACGTGGTTGTGTTCTTCCCTGTGAGGGTGCTGAGGTGCTGGCACAGGGTGCCCAGAGAAGCTGTGCCTGCCCCATCCCTGGCAGTGCTCAAGGCCAGGTTGGACACAGGGGCTTGGAGCAAGCTGCTCCAGTGGAAGGGGTCCCTGCCTGTGGCAGGGGTTGGAACCGGAGGAGCTTTAAGGTCCCTTCCAAGCCCAAACATTCCATGGTTCCATGTTTCTGTGATACCATTCAGAGAGTTATTTGAGTCTCCAGAGGAGATGGATAATTTCAGTTAAAGCAGTTTTCCTACTGAGCAGCCTATGAAAACTCGGCCGCTTACTGGGATGTTTGTTTTCAAGGAGACCTTTATTCACTGCGTTGGTACTTCCAGTAGTTCATGGTAATAACATGCTTGTATTAAAATGAACAGCTTGGCTGCTGATTCTTTTATGCAGGTTGGGAATTCAGAATCCAGGCTTTGCTTTCAGTTATGTTCCAGTATTGGGGTCTGGTCTAATATTTGCTACGGAGTAGATGCTGTAGAGCATATCCTTGTCATCTGTACCTATCTTGTACACTGCAAAACACCTGCTAAATTAAGTCTCTTTATGCAACCTTGCCACTGTCAGTGAGGCTGTAACTGTGGACCTTTGCCTGGATCTATTTCTTGTTTGCTTTACTCAGAACGACGATGAGAACAGAGCCAGTGAAAGCAAGAAAACAAAACTGGAAGAAAAAGCTCCATCAGGACACAAGACTTCCAGCAGCAGGGAGTGAGTATCTCAGCTGTGTTTTTACCATTGAGGGCTCGGGGTGATGAAGAAGGGTGCCTGTCTTCTCCCTTCTCCTCCTTGCCTCCTCCCACTACATGTTTCCACATGATGAAGCAGTTGGTAACATTGCATTGTTTCTTACCCTTCAGACAGAATTCAGAGTTTCTCCTAGAAGTTGGTGGAAATTAATTTCCATAACCAAAACCATTGACCATAGACAGTTGTTTTACTTAACAGAAGTGAGGTAACCGCTCACGTGAAGGATTGGTGTCTTATGGAATCAATGCTTCCCGGTTTTACTCTAATATACAGCTGGAGGTTGTTTTGTTTTAGAAATCAGCTGTGTCTGCAGATTTCCAGCAAAACCCAGCTTTTTGATCTTGCAAAATCTGTGCTTTTAAATTACCCACTCTGATAATTCTCCATTTAGCAAGTGTAAACTGCAAGTAAAGTACTTAACTGGCTTAAATGTGGTTTGACCCCAGCTGGCAGATAAGTACCAGGCAGCTGCTTGCTCATTGCAATCCCCCAGTGCGATGGGGAGGAGAATTGGGAAGTTTATTAATTGAAATAAAGTAAAATACTAATAATTGTAATGAAAAGGGGAATAACCAAAAGGGAAAGAGAAGTAAAACTCAAGGCAAAACAACCAACCAAGGGATGCACAAGAAGGAGCTCACCACCTGCTGACTGATGCCCAGCTCATCCCCAAGCAGTGATTGGGGTCTCCCCAAACAATTCTCCCCCCAGTTTCTAGACTGGGCATGGTGTGATATGGTCTGGGATGTTCCTTTGGCCTCCTGTCCTGGCTGGATCCCCTCCTGGCCTCTTGTGCCTGCAGCCTCCTCACTGCTGGGGCATGAGAAGCTGCAAAGTCCTTGACTTGGTGTAAACACTTAGCAACAGCTGAAATACCCGTGTGTTATCAGTGTTATTCCCATACTAAATCCAAAGCACCTAGGAAGAAAAGTAACTTTCCAAGCTAAAACCAGCACACTGCATTGCATGGGAAGCTGATGGCTTTGAGATTTGGATCCATGGATTTAGCCTCACGTTTGCTTGAGAGATTAGCTAAGGCAAGTGTGAGTTACACAGAAGCAAAGTAATGCAGAATTAACACCTCAATAATGTTGTTTAATCCTCCTTCAGTTGTTTGCTATGTCTGTAAATTCCCATGCTTTTTGGACTTGCTGTTAGGCTGTGTATTTCTTGGTCAGTGTTGCTCCACAGGAGAAAATAAGGGTTTTTTCCACTGCCTTTTCAAGCTGCTGTTTCAGATCAAGTGGCTGAAAACTGATATAATTGTGTCATGGAAAATGTTTCTGTATAGCGAGTAATGGCCAAATTACAAATAATGTGAGAAGCTGCAGCACATCAGATGCTAGAAAGCTTGTTTGCCCATTCTGAATTAAACAGTGTCTTACTATTTGTTAGGAAACAGATGCAGAATAAGTGAATGCTTGATTATGCTTTTTTACCTGTTATTTCTGATACTTGACTGCCAGTGCAGTTATCTGAAGGACGTAGAACAAAATGAAACTCTATAATCTTACAAAGGTAATCAGTAGAAACAATTACTATGGGAAGCCTGGAATAGCCAACATTAGCCCTCAGCAGCCAAGTAAGAGTGTACTGAAAGGCTGCAATGAGAAAGCTTTCCAGGTGCCTGGGTTCCAGAGACCATTTATCTGGACCATCTTCTATCTGAGCTGTTAGATGATGAGGCGGGAACAGACAGCCTGGCGCTAACGCTGGCATCCATTCCTTACATCCCAAGTGTTCAGGGTGGATGTTTTATGGAGAACTCTTGGAGGGGTGTGGTTTTTTATGGTTAGAACTTGTCTGCTGTGTGTTCAGGTCAGAACAAATGAGATGGGGGAAGCGAGTTCGCTTTGGCTTCATAGGAACCTACTCACTGGGATGATTAGTCTCTTTCTTTCCCTCCATATCTGCTTTGCCAGGTTGAACAATACAAATCTGCTTCGTTTAAAAAATGTATCAGTTTTAAGTAATAGATGTATTCAAAATAATAAAGAAAAGGGGTTTTGTTGTTGTTTTTTGGGGGGGGGGTTGGCTGGTTTCATTTTGGGGGTTTTTTAAGGAAAGAAACCCCAAAGCTGAATTTGTTCCTTTGGTCCAGGTCCTCAAAGCCAAGTGCTATTAAAGAGAAGGATTTGCTGCCGTCTCCTGCTGCCCCAGTCCTGCAGAAAGATGCCAAGCAAGAGCATGGCTCCCGGAAGAGGACGGTCAGTCAGTCCTCGTCCCTGAAGTCCAGCAGCAACCTTGGCAAGGAAGGCAGTGGTGGCAGTAAAGGCAGCTCATCTTCCAAACAGAAGAAAACAGAGGGCAAGGGTTCTAGCAGTGCTAAAGAAACCAAGGTAAAGGGCTTTCCTGTACATGCCTCTTGCTTTGCATTGCAGTTTGAGATGCTCAGTGTGATCTAAACAACAATTTGCAGTTCCAGTTAAATGCAGTTGGTTTTGAATGTGCATTGTGTCCTGCCCTAGTGCTTGAGTACTTTGGAAGTCTATAAATCAGAAGACGATTTGGGAGAGATTGTGGAATACTAATGCTTATTCCTACCAAATGTGTTTAATCATCTTCTGATTACTGGTGCTGCTTCTGTATTGTTGAATCTGTTCGTAAGAAGTATCACCGGAAAGCTGCTTACCCAATGGTAAATGGAAGAACGAGGTTACTCTTGTTTCATTGGAGCAGATACAGAGCTTGTCCTGATTTTTATAGAGAGCAGGAGCTCAGTCCACTCTCAGTGCTAGGGTGTGAAGCTGTAGCTCTCATTTCATGACACTGTGGGACCACAGAAAGATTATTTTAACTCCAGGTTGGGAATATGCAGCACTGGCTGTGGTTGGAGTGCAGAAAACGTGGTTACAAATAAAGATGGTGCAGAAAATGGTTTTAAGAGATTTAGGTTAGGGAGATATTTCAGTGTGATGGAATTTAAAAATATTGTAGGAAAATTATACTTTTAGGTCACTAAATTTAATGTGCTTGTTGGTCAGTATATAAATAATGTAGAACTGGATAGAATTTACCCTGTGAAGCCATCTGAGAGTGTATTGTTGAATACCTGTGATGCGCAGTTCCTGTTGTATAACCAGTTTTGAGCACAGTGTTTAACTGGGAGGATTTCACCTTTCTGTGTGATTCCAGTGTGTGCTGCAGGTGCTGGTGTGGCTGCCTCCAAGCTCTCTGCAGCAAAGCCCCAGGGCCTTTGATGGGCTGCAGAAACTCCAGCAGCTGAAGGAGCTGCTAAAGCTCAGTAGCTGGATTTGCAATGGGAAAGCTCAGAAGCAAAACCTAACAATGCTCAGGAAAGAGAATTGATTTGGGGAGGAGTGAAGCAGCAAATAGACATTAGTGATGGCAGAAAGCAACTTAGTCATCAGGGTGGAGCTCCTGAATATCTGAACTGGGAGATGCTGTGTTAGTGCCAGTGGCAGTGCGGTGGGATCGGAGGAGCCTGGCAGGGCTGTGCTCATCTGTGGCTGCATAAGGCACTTCCAGGAGCTGCAGATAGTGCCTTTACCTTACAGGCTGAGGCTTTGCCCTTTATTTGTCAGCATAGAAAATGTCCTGAAGCCAGCAGTTAATGTGTGAGATGTTTATCATTTTATTCCTCACGTATGCTTAGTCATGCCTACTTAGTCAAGTAGTAAGTACTCCTCCTGCATTGCATTGCATTGCATGTTTCATTGCTGTTTCTACATTACAATGGCAGATAGCACATCGCTGTGCCAGTCTGGTGCCTTGTAACTCCAGGATCCTTCTGATAAGCAATAATCTGATAAATGTAAGTTATGAAATACATCTATATAGATGGCCTTTGGTCATGATAAATCAAGAGCAGAAAATACATATGAAGCTGGGGAGGTTCTTTTTTATTGTTTAGCAAATAAAAATGGGTTCACTTTTGATTCATAGCACGTTTCTAGTGTCCAGTCTTCAGCCTGAAATGTCATGTTGAGCCATAATTTAGAGGAACAAGGGCAGGGTGTTGTGAAGACAGCTACTTTTCTCCCTGATGATGATGCTTATTCTTCCAAAATACTCTTTTTCCAAGGCAAAGACGTTCAGCTGAGTGTATCATTGATAGGAGAAATCATAAATAATAATCATCAGCTCTTTGCTAGAGTGGAAATCCAGGACTTGGGAACAGAGACATGGGAGATTTAAGCAAGCATTTCCTGGCCTGGGTGTATCTAGAAGGCCTTGGCTGTGTTCTTTCTTCTAATGGACATCCCCTGGTGTGTTAGACTGAAGAGTTTGGTTATAGCCTCTGTGCCAGCAGTAGGTGAAAGCCCCGTGGAAGCTGTGTTGCTGTGTGTGGTGAATGGCAGCTGAACCAGCTGCAAAACTGACCTTATTGCATATAATGTATGAAATCATGGGAGGAATGTATACAACAGATGCTGTTCTTGAAGGCAAAGAAGGTGTAACTGATCTTTGCATTTATTCCTTGGCACCAATTTTCCTTTCAGGAAAAGATCCTGAACAATTCATCCAGCTGCCCTCCCGTGTCTGCTCAGTCTGCAGAGAGCTCCAAGTCAAGAAGAGCAAAACTTGTTTTTGATGATAGGTAAGAACAGCAGAAGGTGCCTCTCCCTTTGTGGGGCCGAGGCGTGGAGCATGGCCAGCTCCCTGTGGAGAAGAGCTGTTGTCTTGCTTCACAAAAGACCTTAGGTCCACACTCCTACCCTGGGGAGCTCTGTGTTGTTCCTGCAGTGCTGCGCTTGCCTGCCTGCTCTCCGGGCCAGTGCCTTGGCAGACAGCACAGTCCTTGAGGAGGAACTGTAGCCTGCCCTGCACATTCCTGCCGAGCATTAGAGGACCATGCAATAGACTTAAATAGCTCAGGGCTCTTCTTGGTTTAAATGCTGATGTGTCCTTTTCACCTTACCAGGACACTGCTGCTACCTCTCTGCTGCTCAGTGCTTTTCTCCTCATAGCTGTTCCTTACAGAAAGAAAAAGGAATTAAGTGACTTTGGTGATTTGAGCTACACTGTCATTCATTTAGGGCAAAAGAGTTTATGGGGGTTTTTCAATTATTCCAGGACAAAACAGGGATGAGAAATTGAGATAACATCAAACTTCCTTAAAAAATGAATTCCAAATGTGAATTGAAGTATAGGAAGTGCTAACAAGAGCACCCTCCGAGGAATGGTCATTGTGCTTTGGAATGGTGACATGGTAGAACCTTATAGTTTTGACTTGAGGCGTTTTAGGATTTCTTGGGCCTAGAACTATTGGAGCTAATTTTGTAGGTATAGAATGTTTTTAGTATTAACTGTTGCTTTTTAATTCCCTCAGTTTCCTGTAAGTGGACTATTAAAAACATTGATTTCAAATATCTTTAATTCTTTGACTATAAGATAGTGTGGATGGGAGAATTGATTTCAGACTTGAATCATCTCCTAGGTAATAAGCTAATATATTGAAATGTATAATTGCACTTTTATGGTTGTCTTCTGCTCATCTAGGTGTGGAAGTCATTTAGCTTTGATTGCTCTGGGAGGCTAAGCAAAAGCAGTTCACACCTGAATGCAGCTGTTCTGTACTACTATCATAATTTCTCTTTCACAGCCTCAGTAATGCCAGTCCTGGAGGCACTGGGTGAATTTGTCCTCAAGTGTTGTGGTTTTTCCTTCCCTGCCCCTGTTGTTGGTCAGGGGTTTGGTTTGCTTGAGTGTCAAATGCAGTAAATTTAACAAAGTCACATTTGTTAACTTGCTTGAAATGCTGCTTTGAATTACCTGAAGCTAGAGAATTGACTTTAAGCTATTTTTTACAATACTATAGCTAACCGTACTGGTTACCTGTTTTATCAGAGTGTAGCTCCTCTAACCTGAGTTAAACAGAGAAAATAGAAAGCTTGACAACATTAGGATACTTCAGTCATAAAATGCAATGTGATATGGCTGGGGCTGATTCCTTGTGTCCTCTGTTGCAGGACTTACTCAGCTGATCATTATTTGCAAGAAGCAAAGAAGCTAAAACATAATGCTGATGCATTGGTAAGTAAATCCCTGATACTCATCCAGGGTTTGCACGTTACACTGGGGGTTGTTTCCTGCTCTTGCCATTTTGCTGCCCTCCTGTACTGCAGCTCTCTTGTACTTCCTCTCTGGGTTTTGTCCTTATAAGCTTTTCCCATGTGCTCAGTCTGACAGGTTTGAGAAGGCTGTCTACTACCTAGATGCTGTAGTGTCGTTCATTGAGTGTGGGAATGCATTGGAGAAAAATGCTCAGGAATCCAAGTCCCCGTTCCCTATGTATTCAGAAACTGTGGAATTAATCAAGTAAGCATTGCAAAGCAAATATGAAAGTCAAGTGGGTGGGAAAGATGTCTGGAAACCAGAGCTGCTAGATACACTGAAGTTGTGCCATCATTTGAGACCTCTTTCTCCAGTATTACTGCAGCACTTCCCAGTTTGTTCCAGTTACTGAGGCTTAAAGTGTTCTTATGAAGGTTGAGATGTTTTCTGCTAAGGCTCTTGAAATCACTCTACAAGGCATAACACAAGAAGCAAAACTATTGCAGTTGCTGCCTAGTTGGCATTTTGTTTAGGGACTGAGAGAAGTTTCTGAACTGGTGAAGACAAGGTAAAACTAGAAATTCATGAAAACACCAATGTTTGGTGATTGATAAACGATAACTGTCATTGTTTTGTTGCTTATGTGCTGTCTTTGCTTGCAGATACACTATGAAGCTGAAGAATTACTTGGCACCGGATGCCACGGCTGCAGATAAAAGGCTAGCAGTGCTTTGGTAAGTGTCTTCTGAACTTAGTACAATGCACCGTCTGACCTTAATGCCCTGATTAATATCAAGTGTTTTCTCTACATGAAATGCTGTACAACACTGCGTTCTCAGGTGGTTTTGAACCAGATATGAGTTTTCCACTTGGCTGTACACAAAGATTACTGCTGTGTATGTGATTACTGTAGGCTGGGGCTGAGGGGATGTTGACAACGAAGGCCAAGTCCTTGAGCTGTTAAGGAGTAACTGCAGAAAGGATGAGGGTCCTTCCTGTGTGCTCACCCAGTGATAAGTCAAACCTGGGAGTGGCTGTAAAGAATTGGCCTCAGCAGGACCAGTTGGAGTCAGGTGGAAAAGGGAGACAACGGTGGGATGCATTAGACTCTGTATGGCCTGAAAGGAGCAAGAAATAAATGAAATGTGTGTTTGGGAAATAACTGACTGTTGTCTTCTACGCTCAGCACTGGAAACTGATTATATCAGTAAAATCACTGAAATTTACTGTTTCAGCTTAAGGCACAGAGCTGGGTTTATGTCCTTGGGAATTCGAAGGGGGTCATGGATTCTTGGTTGAGTTGCAATTTAGAGAGCTGGCAGTCAGAGCTGGTTAAGAAAATGTCAGAAACACAGCTATTAAATGTTTGATATTCACTGATACAGATTTATTTGATACTCACTGGGATGTGATAAAGTTGATTGAACTGTGAGTGTTGTGTTGTTCTGTCTTTGGGCAGTCTGCGGTGCCAATCTCTGCTATACCTAAGGCTTTTCAAGCTGAAGAAGGAAAGTGCATTGAAATACTCTAAAACTCTGACTGAACATCTGAAGGTAAGTGTGTGTTCTTAAACCATAATCACATTGAAGCTCTATATCACTTAGAATTCCTGAATCCTGTTTTCAGACTGTGAAAACCAAACCCAGATGGGTCTTTCAGGATTGTGGTGTTTGCAGTGGGATGGTTGGTGTTTTTGTTATCCCCCCACCATGAATTTACCTGAACTCAGGGAAAGGAGATGAAGAGGCACATTCTCCAAGTGCTTATTTAAATCAAGATATTGCAGATGAGGAAAAACAGTTATGATGCTTCTGTAGCGTTACTCAGTCCTTAATGTAAGGAGCTTTCCCAAAGGAGCACTTGAGGATAGGTGACTCATGTCACTGGGTTTCTCTGAAGCTCCCAGCTGAGAGGAAATGGGATTGTCTCATGCCTGACTTCTCAGATTTTTTTGAGACATCTTTAATTGTTCAGTGCCAGAAATAACAGATTTCTTCCCATTAATGGGCTGAAAAAAGCAAGATGTTCTCTAAGGGGTCGAGCAGGGGACTACTCCACTCCTATGTATATTTAGTGGCCTTTGTGTTGCTAAAATAATCCCTTAATTTATGCCTTAGTCATCAGTAAAAGAGGATATTTACCCAAATGTTAATTCACTGGGACATTAGTTAGAGTGTGCCTATTGCTTAATGCAACAAAAATTAATTTGGCCAAAAATAGCCACTTAAATAAGCAGATAAAGTGTGACTGCTGAAAGTACGGACATGAATCAGGTGACAAATCTCTTTTTTTCCCCAAACAGAATTCCTATAATAACTCTCAAGCACCGTCACCTGGTATGGGAAGGTGAGTAGGCAAAGCTGTTCCCTGTGCTTCTCAACCTATAGCTAGTTTTGTATGTAAACTCTGTGCCTTAGGTGCTCAGGAAGAGGCTTTTCACTCTCTAAAGTGTTGGGTGATGGTTCTGAGGGTGTAGGTTTTGATTCAGTTGTCTGCGTGCAGAAAGGCTTGGAGGACTTAGGGGTTGGTGTGTCACACACAAGTCACTTCTCTCAGTGAGTTTTGTTGGTTTATTTAATGCTTTTTCCCCTCAAAACAATGGTTTTGTTAATGCTGCAAGCCCAGAGTGTTACAAGAACTCTCAGAGTTGTCTGTTCCATAGTACAGCAATTTACTTCTGTTCGTTTAAGCCTAATGCTGGACCATTGATCATTACGCCGTGAGCTGTGAGAGGGCATTTCAGATTTGCATATTGTTATCTGAAGGTCACTTTTCTATGGCTGAATAGTTATCATGTAGTTATAATGTTTTCATTATTATTCTTTAGGGTTCCATTTATTTAAACAGTGAATTTAGGATTTGATTGGATGAGGAGATGGTGAGGTTTGGCAATTAGGTTTTAGCTGTGAAGTTAGCACACGGGAATTGGAGGATCCTCAGTAACTGTTCCCAGCTCATGCACTTCATGTGTTGTTGGGCAGATCCTGACCTCTTAATGTGCAAGGTGGGAGTGCTTTAGATGTGGGAAGAGGGCTCTGAGAGGGCATCTTACAGCATGATGTGCCCAAAGTACATGTGTGTGTATATGCGTTTTACAACTGAGTGTTTCCTTTGGACAAGCAGCAAGCCCGTGGGTATGCCATCTCCAGTCTCTCCAAAGCTGTCTCCAGGGAATTCAGGAAATTACTCTTCTGGGGCAGCCAACCCTTCAGGAAGTGGGTCCTCGGTGACGATCCCCCAGAGGATCCATCAGATGGCTGCCAGCTACGTCCAGGTTACATCCAACTTCCTCTATGCCACTGAAATATGGGACCAAGCCGAACAGCTGTCTAAAGAACAGAAAGGTAAGAGCTGGCAGGGGAGGGTTAGGACACCAGATGTACCAAAGTGTGCTCACGGGCTTTGAACTGGGGCGTTGCAGTTAGTGGTGTGCAGGATGCTTAACCAGGTCCTCTGCAGAAGTGAGGTGGAAGGTTGTGCACTGGTCTGCAGCGAAACCCCAGGCTGGTTGTGTGTCAGTTTAAAGCCATTAAAGGTGGGGGTTGGATGTAATATTGCCCATATAAAGGTACATGCATAGCTTGTAACTTGTGTTTTTCTATTCTTTTAGAGTTCTTTGCTGAACTGGATAAAGTTATGGGCCCTCTGGTTTTTAACTCGAGCATCATGACAGACCTAGTGCGTTATACCCGTCAGGGATTACACTGGTTGCGCCTGGATGCCAAGTGATATTTGGAACTGAAGGAATGGAAACTCAAACACATTTTTCTCGCTGCCTCTGATTTATCTCCACAACACTGTGTCATGTCAATAAGGAAGACTGCCATAACACATTGCTTAGTTGACACTAAGAGCAAAGAATGCTTTCACACGTCTCCCATCCTCATTTGTGTTTTGTGTTTTAACCCCAAATCATTTGGTTATTGGACTGCTTCAGTATTCCCGGTTTAAGTTATTTAAGTATTTTATAATTTGCTACATAGAAAGGAGTAGTTTTGCTGATCTGTCATGGGCAGATCACTGGAATTCCAGTCACAATACAGGAAGAGTCCATTTAAATCCTATTTATTTGAATTTTTTTAATTTTAAGCTTGAACAGCCCGGTTTTGGGGCAGTTCTTAGTTATTCCCTAAATTTACCCTTTCGAGTACTTAGCAGAAATTAAACATAGACACTTTATTTAAGTACTTTGTGAGCTTTGTTACTCTGTAATGTCTTGTGGTGGTAGAGCCTGTAAAGGAAGTAGGGTTGATAGGTTCTAACGTGTAGGGACACCATACTTTCCATGCCTAATGCCTACGAGTCAACTAATAAATGACAACTACAGATTTATTATTGCAGAATTTGTACTAAATAGAAAAAGTTCCAGATATTCTTCTACGTATTAAGATACTTCATTTAAATGAATTATAAAGAAATTTATATGGAAAAGTATTTAGCTGGATCTGACTTGGATGGTTTTCCAGGCAGTTTCCAAACATGGATTAACACTATAACAATCACAAAACATTACAGTGATTTGCGTTCAATGTGAGATCAAAGAAATGGTGTAGGAATGAGCTTCGGCCCGGCAGGTGCGATGCAGACAGGAAAGGTTTCTGAAAAGGACAATCTTGTGCTTTTTTGCATCTCTTCATTTGAAATACCTTTTGTTTCCGTGCTTGTCGTTTCCTGACGCCTCCAGAGTCGGTGAACTTTGTGATGGACAAACCCAACAGCAGTTAAATTCCTACCAGAACTGGCCTTTGCGTCTTTTCCATTGACTGAGAAACCAGGAATCTTTAGAAACCGAGGTCCATTTTTTCCTTTTAGGGTCTGATAGGTGATGGACACTACAGGATGACAGTGCAAGAGCCGTCGTGGGGTGGGAGCACACCTGCTATTACAGGGAGAGTGACTGTTGTGATGCAGAATGGATTTAAAACTTGTATTTACCCCGTGTTGATGAAGGTCCCGTTAATGTTTGATGGAGCATAATACTCACTTGCGAGGGAGCGACTTGGTGCAACAGAAGTGGTTGATGGAGTTGCAGTTGCCTGCTCTCAAAAAGTGAAAACCAAAGTACCTTTCCACGTGAGGTGCTTGTCTGAGTTAAAGGTTTAAACTGCTACTGCTTTCAGTATCGCTTAGTGCCCCTACCATGTCTGGTGTGCCTTATGCCTTACTTTTAGATGAAGATTTTATGAACTGTTTACAAGATGTTTTACAGCAGGACCAGGTATATACTGTATGCAGTGGTCTTCTGCAGTACTCTGGTAAAATTCCATTTCCTTTCTAAAAGTCCTAGTGTCCGTCACACAAACTGACTTCTCATTGCGGTGGTCTCCTTCTGAAGAGTCCAACTCTGAATCCTTTGGAGTGAGATTGTGGAATGCTGCTTTGTTTTCTCTCCCACTTCACCTTTTCTTCCATACCAGATATGAACGTGCATGTTCAGGAAAATGATTGCACTAAATTTTGTGTGTAGCTGTAGTTAAGTGCCAAACTCCCGGCAACCTCACGAGAAGGAATAGAATTCTACGCTCTCAGTACTGCAGTATGTCCTATGGGCTTTAAGAGTTTAGAAGTTTTGCAATTAGTAACCTACTAAAGGTAGCTGCATATTCGTAGAGCTTCCTTTGCGTTCCAGCGTGTTTTGTACTTCCAGAAAAGCTTTGCTGCGTACGAATGGATGGATACGTGGGCAACAGACCTGTGACTCTTCCCATGACAGCTGAATTTCCTCTTCAGGTCTGTTGGAACATCCTTTTCCTTGAATCACTGTGCAAGGTCACGTTTCTGTTAGCGTTTGCTGTTTGAGACAGAATCTGTACCCTCAGACTCCACATCTTGGCTAATGGGACACTGTCAACTCTTTTTCCTTTAATACTCTAAAGTGCCTAGCACACTTTTGACGCTATATAAAAGATACCTTCATAGAAGTTGCAGTCATCGTTTCTTTTTTGTGTAGTGCTGCACTAGCCGGCATGGCTGCGTTCTGGCTTGCTCCGTTGTGCACAGGTACCATTCCTGGTAGCGGGAATGGGCTCATCTCTGGGAATTATTTTTCTTTTCCTTAACTAGAGTCCCACAAATACCTTTTGGTGTCACGTTCTATTGGTCTCTTAAAAACGTATCGCTTATCCCTAGGTCAGTGGATCTTTATGGTCTTTGAACAACCACAAGACGTTATCATAGGAATCAACTGGGTTGGAAAAGACCTTTAAGCCCATCAAGTCCAGCTGTTCCCCAGCACTGCCAAGGCCACCACTAAACCATGTAACTAAGAGCCTCATCTGCATGGTTTGTGGACACTTCCAGGTACAGTGACTCCAGCACTGCCCTGGGCAGCCTGTTCCAATGCCTGACCACCCTTTGGGGAAGGAATTGCTCCTGATATCCAGTCTAAACCTCCCCTGGTGCAGCTTGAGGCTGTTTCCTCGTGTTCTATCACTTGTTACTCGGGAGAAGAGACCAGCCCCTGTACATCATGTCAAAATGTGGACCTGACTGGTTGAAAGTGTCCCACCTGGACAGTGGGTTTTCAGGGTGGAATATCCCTGGAGCACTGTCCCAGGCCGCCTGCTATACAGGAGATATTGGTGGCCTCATGAATTGAAAAGAAATGCCTTATGCATCTGTGGCTAGTTCAAACGGATTAACTTCCCCATTCCAAAAGCACACCTTATTTTGGGATGTACTGTTGTTTCCGGGAGGAAAGTGATGTACTCTTGTCAGATTCCGTAGCTAAGTGCTCAATAGGCTTCCATCCCTCTGTCCTAGTGCAGGCGATGGGTCTCAGCCTGTTCTTCCATAGCAGTGACACACGTCACTGGGGTACCAATACGCATCGCACTAGTGACAAACGAGGGAATCCTGAACTCCTGCCTTCCCAGATGGATCCCCCAGACACTTGTCTGTTAAATACATATCAATGCTGTGATTTTAATTCCCTCGCTGACTGTGGTCCTAGTTGGTGAATCTTAATAATGGCTTACTCAGACTAGGCTTGCTCAGCTATCAGTGCTGTCTGAATCCGCTCTCAGACTTCAGGGTCCTGGGTGATGAGGTGCAACCATCAATAAGTCGAAACAAATATTCAGGACACCAGAGAGAAACAGCCCTAGACTTTTCTTTTGATTTAAAACTATTAGCCATAAAGCAGAGCATCTGGGTGGCTCTTCTTGGCTTTCGATGGCAGTATGCAATTTGTATTGTATGTGTCTTTTAATATATATGTATATATATATGAACTCAGTCTGTCCAAAGTATATGTTATACTTGTTTTTAGATTATGGTGCAACTGACTATATTGATATATTATTTATTGAGTGCTGAATCACCATCTTAGTGGTGATAAATATTGCATATTATACAGGAGTGCAATGTATATTCCTTTAGATTGCTGAGGCTTGATTGCTGTGATCACAAAAAGATGCCCTCAACTGTATTTATGAACGGCCCCAACACACCGAGTCAGTACTTCATAGGAATTATGTAGCACTTGCCTGGGGCAAGTAAAACTAACGCCATAGGCACATCAGGAGGTGGTTTGCCAAAGTGGCAAGCTGCTGGAGGAAGAGAGACTACCTTTGCTGTATTTAATAGTTTACCTAACAGGTATTTGCTGTCACTGCAGTGTTTATATTAAGGGATTGAAAGGGCCTGAGCAAGTCCAGTTTGAATTACCCATTGGGGAGTCAGCAGCTTCCAAATTCTTACATTTCTGACAAATACTGTGGTCGGGGTTTCGGTTTCTCTGTCTGATGAATCAGTGTTATGGAAAACCCTGTGTTTCCAAGCAACAAAGCGAACGCTAGACATCTGTGAGAGTAGCCAAAGCTTTTGCTAGCCAACTCAGACAAATCCAGAGCTGTTCCAGGAGACAAATCCCCTAAATAGGAAAGTTAAACTCTGTCAATCGGGGAATCATGATCTATGTCCAGTTCCCTTACTTTGCAAGGAACTGGGCTCCGCTGCCGGGGTGCTGTTTCTTAGAATCATAGGATAGTTTGGGCTGGAAGGGACCTTCAAGGGTCTTCTAGTCCAACCCCCCTGCAATGAGCAGGGGCATCTTCCACTAGATCAGGTTGCCCAGAACCACATCTGGCCTGGCCTGGCATGTCTCCAGGGATGGCTTTTGGAAGCGAGCGGTGCTGGGTGGGAGGTGAGGGCTGGTTGTGCCATCAGGATGTTGTGGTCTCGGTGGGAGCTGTGCCCTGGCCGAGGGCAACCTCAGCTCCGCTCCTGGCCGGTGCTCGGGGGGGTTGTGGATGCGGTGGCACCGTGTGGAGTTTCCCACAGGATGTCTAACGTGAATGCTTCACTTGGTTTAATTCCATCTGGAAGCTTGAGCAAAGCGTTTCCATTCCTGGTGGAACTCCACACGTGCTGATGGAGCCCATACAGGCCGACTGGGACGCGGCATTCCTGTCTCCAGTTTTTATATGCAAGCCCGATGGCTGGTGCCGCATTCCCCTGGGCTGTGCTGGCATCCCACACCCCAGGACTCAACTCTAAGGACCAGGCATGACTTTTGCAAGCACAGTTCCTGACATTTGTATCTGGTCCCCCCCCTTTTAAAATTGTTTTAAGAAATTTTGTATATGGAGGATAAAGTGCTTATATATTTATTAAAACAAATCCTTTATCTTATTTGAAATTATTATTTGGTGAAGAAGGGTTTTTCTTTTGGGGGAGGGCTCGCGGGTGGGGGAAGGTCACTTTGAACCTGTCACTTATAAGTGAAGCCCTTGTTAACCACTCGGAAAAGGTACTGTTAGTAACTAATGGGATGTCTCTGTTTTATGCTTTGTACATGACGAGTCCATGTGTTACATTTTGTTTTCTATCAGAGTATTTAGGCATCTGTCTTCAACCAAAACCTAAAAGAAGAAAACACAGACTGTGATTTTATTTGTTGCAATACATTTGAAATTTCAAAGGGTACTTCGGGGCTCAAAATTAGGATTTCTAAGTCAGTATGTGCATTTCACGTAATAAAGCTGTTAATGGTGAGCAAAGTATTATATACTAACTAGATTTTTTCCACATCTGTATAGTATATTCTATGTATTTTGTGGTATTGAGATTATAGAAAGTTTAGTGTCTGAAACATGCGTTTAATGTGTATTTTTAAACAAATTTATGGCAATTAAAATATTTGGAGAAAAGGGTATCACATTTCAATTTGTAAAGATCTTTTTAACTACTGTGTCATTAAAATGCTTTGTACAATGCAAAACTGTAACTGGAGAAACTAAGTTTAATAAATATCAAATAGATTTTCTGTATTAAACTTCAAAACCACTGTGCTCGTGTCTGGTGTGTGGCTCTCCTCCTCCCTGGTACCGTGCTTAAGCAAAGGTTTCTGTTCTATGTATAACGAAAGGGAAACGGCAGTCGGTGTTTGCGTCTTGCACTGGTTGATACTGGTCTTAATCAAAGGTGGTTTTGTTTCTTTCAGCCCTGCCAGTTAACGTGTGACAGATCAAAACTGGATTTTGATCCATTTATTTTAAAACAGGAGCTACTCCAGTGGCAAAAGTCAGTCTAGGACTTGTATTTAAGTAAATTTGATTAGAAGTAATTAAAGGTAAATACTTTTCCTTCCAGTTATCACTGGATATATTTGGGATATTAAAATGCTATCAGTATTATCAGTTTGTTTGCTCTCCCTTTCTAACAGGCCTTTATCTGAGGTGCTGATAAGAGTTCAGCTGTTGAGACGGAAAGGAGATAGAAGCGTGCTCTGCTTTGTGCACTTGCCAGCTTGAAGGGTAAGTGTCTAAAGTCCAGTTTGAGCTAAGCACTCCTGCTCGAAGCGCCAGCTGTGCCCTCCCTGTACACTTTGCTCGCAGGAGACAAGGAGAACCAAGGTAGTTTGCTGAACAGACGTCTTTAATTCGCACCTTAAAAAACAGTCAGGAACCATTACAAAAAACCCAAACAAACAGGGGATGCACGGTCCTCTTATTGAGCTTGGCCAGAGCCATCCCGAGGTGTGCTGCAGAGCTGTGGCCACGGGTAGGGAACGCTCTCAAGCTCTTTGAAGTCCTTTGCCCATTCCTGGGGCAGAAACATTAAATCCACCGATTGCTGGGTCCCCTGCCCTTGCTTCTGAAGGGTCAATAAATACTCCACTGTTAGTGATAACAGCGACGGGTGGGCTTCAGGGGGACGGGTCACTCAGCGGCTGTTGTCAGGAAGCAGCGGTTCTTCCTGGAAAAGAAAACCTCATCAGGCATTGCCAGCTTGGCCATGGCCTTAGCAGGGCTCCTGTTCTGCTCACGGGCTGCACCCATTGCACTCCCCCCTTTATCCAGTTCATCTGGATTCATTTTCTGTTCTCTGCTTTACATTACAGCTCCAACATGCGTGTTACACAGAGCTGTATGGTCAGGCTGTGGTGTAGAAATCACCCACAGCTGAAACCCTGTTCTACTGAGATCTTCCAGTAGCTGCTGTTACAGTTAATCAGTAGAACCAAATATGAGTTGCAAATGCACCCAGAATAGCATTTGGCTGTCCTGTCTTGTATATAGAGCAGAAACTGGCTCTGTTCTACCCATCTCTAATTGCTTTCTGGTATGTGTAGAGTAGGTGCCATGCCAAATCACCTTTCAGTCACCAAGTGGTAATTGTAACTAATCAATTTAAGTAGACATAGTTGGACAATTTGCTCATGTCTAGTGGCTTTTTATATTTAGTTGTCTTAAACTGTGAGCATAAGTAATCATCTTAAAGTGATTCATTTAGGGTAAGTACTGCTTTTAGTTAATATGCCTTAGAGTGAACAGAACTGCCTTTAAGAAGGATTAATTTTAAGGTCTGTGATTACTCAAATGCTGTGCTCTTCTTTCAGAAGACGGGTTATCTGGGCTGGCAGTGAAAGGACATGGGGCTGTCATTAGGGGCACTTGGACTCTGCTCTGTTGGCATTGCTTACAAAGGAGGTCTGAATCTATTGCCCCATCCCTATTCCTGGTATCTGTTTTTAATGCACAGAATAAACTCCATACCTCATTAGGGGAGAATAAGTGGGAACTTTCTCTACCTAATACGATACTAAGTCACACTGAGCCTGAATGTGAATGAGGCTGTTACCTGCAGAGCATTGTGATGCATTCACTGTTGTCCCTGCACGAGGCTCCAACAGGTCTCAGCGAGACGCCTCTCCAGAAGGGTGTCATCCTCCTCTCTCTCACCAGCTGAGGCTCTGGCTGGCTCAGGGAAGCACAGTGTGTCTGGAAGAGAGTCAGGGTGGCTGTCAGAGCAGGCAGCAGCTGCTCATTCTGCTGCTGAGCTCAACAGTCTTAAGTGAAGAACTTGAACTCTTTCTCATTTTGAGCTCATAACGTGCTCTGTTGAAGTGTAATTGCTTGTATCCTACCCCCACAGAAGTAAGCACAAAAATCAACAATGGGTTTTAATCTCCTGGGGAGGAAAGGCAGAACTACTGCTAGTTCCATCTCAGAGGAACGCAGTATTCACTAGGCAGGTTTTTTGTGACTGTCAATGCTCTGAAGGAGCTCTGCTGTCACCTCTAACCTTCACCAGGTATTCTTGTTCATGCAAACCATAGCAGGGTTTGGTAAGTCCCAGAGCTGTAAATCCTTGTCTCTATTTACCTGACAGAGCAGCAGTGAGCAGAGCAAGGCGACCGCCAGCGTTTTCCAACAGTGCATCTTCCCAGTGTGGGCTGTCACTTGGACCGCGGGACCGGAGGAGGGAGAAGAGCCCCAAATAGAACTTCCCAAGCCTCTGCTAGATTTTTATAGACTTCCTTCTCTTATCGTTGCATCAGCTGTCAGTCATTGCAGGAACAAAGTTCGATTCGGAGCAAGAGCGAATGACTAAATTAGCATCTGCTGCAGTGATCTGGTTCAAGGCCTGTCTCTCTGGCTAATGATTTACCTTCCTTCCACTTGTACCTTGTCTGCTCAGCTTACCACTTGTGCCAACTGTTCCTTCCTTTCAAACCTACCTAGCGCATTACCAGAACCCTGTGGTGGATTTCAATGGAAAAGGGTGGCTGGCCCAAAGTGTTAGGGTAAAGATAAAAGCCATGACCTTATGTGACTTCTGTGAGAGCTGCAGTGTGTGCAGCTTGGAGTTTGTCAGCTGGGGGAAGTTTTGTCTTAGTGAGCTTATTTGGAGCAGAGAATCATGGTTTTGATTCTGCTTCTCATTCCTGGTACATGGAAGAAGGATGAGGAAGTTACTTCACCTGCCTTGCCCCACACACAGCACTCAAAAAGCAGAAGGAACACTTGTCAGATAGGTTTTGGGATGTAAAATGTATGTTGTACATGATAAATAACAGACCTCCCAGGGATCCCGATGTGTAGATGAAGATGATAACCTCTAAATGGTGAACCCCAAAAGGAGAGATTGCTGCAAGGGTTTCTGGAGCAGAGTTGCTCCATGTGGCAAGACTGTGGCTTCTTTCAATGGGCTGTCACTGCCACAGTCTGCACCTTAGACTGTAACCCATGCTCAGTCTCCTAAAGGGTGCCTCAGCTCCCATTGATGTGGGTGAGCAGCTTGTCATTAAGAGGAATGTTAGTTTTTCCCATTGTGAAATGAGATTGCAACAGCTTGGAGAAAAGAACATTGAAGAAGAGCTGTGTGTTACCTCCTGCCCTCAATAACCCCTCAGCTTACGAGCACTGGGACAGGTGGGAGAAGAGCATGAGTAAGATCAGCCTGTACCTGGACCTCACTGGTTCCTGCTCCTTATCTCGGATGCTGTGCCCCTGGCTCCCGCAGCTCCCCCCTCTACACCCAACCTGCCAGGGACAAGAGGTTTGAGGTTGCAGGGTAGCATAAAGCCAATGCCAGCAGCTTATTTGTGTCAGGTGTTGGGGAGGTTGGAGCACCCTGTGTTTTAAGCTAAGTCATGGTACTGTATAATATAGTGAAGTCTGCTTTTGCTGAATGGCAAATACAGATCTGTGTATAAGAGGCTGCCATTTTCAGTGATTGCTTAATGTGGGGGCAGAAGTGCCAGCGTGGAAGGCAAGTTAGATTAAGATAATGCCATGTTGTCAGGTTCCTGTCTCCAGTTGATTGCCCCTTAGCCCAAACTTCACTGGGATTAAACAAAAACCCTTCCCAGCTTATTGTCTACAACTGATACCAGAGAATTCGTTCTAATTCCTGCTGTTTCCACCAGGCACTAGCACAGAACAGAGAAAGGACAAGAGGCAGCAGCAAGAGCCTTCATCCATGGAGCACAGGATTTGAGGTGACAGCTCGTTCAGCTCTGACAGCGAGGCCCTCTGTCTGTCATCGTTTCTCAGCTTTTTTGGCTAGGTAAGACCAGTACTTTGTGCCAATAAATCAAAATCCTTGTGTGTCCTTCTGGCTTACCGACAGCATCAGCATGTCCCTTTGGGGCAGCAGTCTGTGCGCTCTGGGCAAGGAACTGGGAAAGAAAGAGGAAAACTGAGCCAAGTGTTTCCACATGGACAAGCGCAGGGTGTCAGCAAAAAGCCACAGGTTCTAACAGCAAAACCCACATGCTTGCTCCGTTGCCACGTCCAATATTGACCAAAGGGAGGTCAGAAATCAATGCAATGACAGCAGAATGTCCAGACACCTCGTTCAGCCCTGACGTTCCCCCTGGCTGCTGTCCCGAATGCCACGGCTCCGGCTCCCCGCCAGGCAGACCGGGTCCTGCGGTGAGCACAGGGACACCGGCACCGGGGGATGGCTCTGCAGGGCCAGAGGACAGCGTTTGGGCATGGTTGCGACAGGAGCAAAGGGTGAGGAGGCCCAGCCTGCAGGCTGCTGGCTGCTGACACTGCAGCTGAGGGGACGGTGCTGGGAACGTGCTGCAGTGTTTGCGCTTGTCTAGCGGCTGGTCTGGGCACGGTTCAGCTGTCTGTGTACAGGGACAGAGGCCGAGAGGAGCTGCTGAGGTGGAATGTGGTGAAAAATGAGGGTTTATGGAAGCTACCAACAGACAAGCTCCCACCAGGGCACCCTTCCTGCTACCCGTCAACTGCTGGGGGTGGCAGATACGCAGGATGCAGGGGCATTGAACTAGTAGGTGTTTAATGTCCAACCCCAACCATTCTAGGACTTGTATTACTCCTGTTTATACCAACATCACACTGAGCTTGGAATAAGCACAGGAGCAGTAGGAACAGCCCTAACACTAAGCTTAGTCCCATGTGCTTAAGAGCCCCAAAAGAACAAAGCATTTAGCTATAAAAACTGCGTAATCCCCATCTTCCTGCAGGAAGAGCCCAAGCATCCTTCTCTTCGAGATAGCCCAGGGCTGAGCACACCAAGAAATGGACTCAGGGAAACGTCACTCCCACAGTGGATAAGATAAATTCTTGGTACCAGCTGCAGCAACAGCACAACAGGGAGATAAACCTATTGCTTTGTGTGGCGCAGGAGCCTGAGACAGCCAGCTGAAAGGGAAAAGTAGGATAAGGGAACGAGTCAGGTGTTTGGACTGCGAACAGTGAAGCTTGTTCACTTAAAGCCACAGGGTGAGTTTCTTTGTCCCATACTTCACTTTACTACAAGCAGTTGTTTTTAAATCATCCTCAGGTATTAAACAGCCTTGTTTCTATGCTTCTGTTAATGCTCATCAATAGCAGAACTCCAGTTACTCAATCAATGTAACCAGGCAATGTCAGTCAGGGCAGAGCCCAGGTTGGAAAGGACCCTGAAATGTTGTCTGGCCCAGTCTGCCACGGGAAGGGGCCCGGCTGAGGCCATCTGGCACCATGTCCTGTCCCCTGCATGAACCCCCCGGCTGAGGACACCCCTGTGGCCGCCTGTTCTCATGCAGGAACAGTCCCTTTCCTGCACCGGGATGAAACCGCTCCCGGAGCGCTGGGTACCCACTGTCCCTGCATGGGGCTCCTGGTGAAGAACAAGCCTCTGCACTGGGGGCGAGGTCCACGCTCAGCCCTGAGCACAGCCAGCTCACTGCTGGCAGTACCGAGTCATGGGCTGTTTGCCTTTCACACATCTCAAGGCTAGGGGATGAAGCAGAAGCCAGGGATGGAAAGACAAACAGCAGGGAGGTAGGAGGTGTTATTTTAAGTCATCCCCAGCGGAAGGCACCCCTTGCTGTGTTAGTTATACTGAGAAATGCTCTGAGATAAAAGCATCTGAGCATACAGAACTTTAGCCCGATTATCTCCCTGGACAGAGCAAACCAGGCACACATTTGATGCTGCTCACCTTAAGCATCCCAAGACTCACAAGATTTCACGCAAAGTCACAGGGCAAAGTTTATTAGACAAGACTTATCTCCTTCTTAATACCCTTCTGGTCATGTGGAGAAGCTTAACAACACCAAAGCGATAACACAGCGAGAGGACATCCGTGTTCACTGCATCACTGGTCGTTTTCATAGTCAGCGGGGTTCTTCCTCTTCAGCCTCTCAAACTCTTGGGTTCCCCAGGAGTACAGGAGATAGGCTGCCGCGAAGGCTGGAAAGGGAAGGGAAGGGAACACTCACAAGCCGCACTGCCATAAGCACAGCCCCTGTGTGACTACGACCAGCGCTACCCCAGGCTGCTGTCACACGGAGCCTGCCCCGGCCCCAGCGCGCCGATGCTGAGCGGGAGAAGGACACCGGAGGGAGGGCCCCGGGGCCGCGGTACTCACGGGGCACCACCTTGAAGACCTGGGAGCTGAACCGGCGCCACACGTTGGGCACCCCGTGCGAGAAGACGTTGGGGAAGGCGCGCTGCTCGAACGGGGACAGGCTGTAGGTGATGATGTGGCGGACCCGCGCCAGGTTCCCGAAGTGAAGCCCCATGGCGCTGCCGGGTCACCTTCCCCCGCCGGGCCGAGGCACCGCTCCGCACCGCAGAGGAAGAGGAAGCGGAGATGCTGCTTCCCTTTCCGGGGCGGGGGATGCTGCTCCCGTCGGTCCCTCACATCATAGCGGATGCAGCGGAGCCTGCGCCGTGCTGGGGTACCGCAGGGAGGGCATCCCCAGCGCGGATAAAGGAGCCGTTATCCCAGTGTGCTCAGAGCGTGGAATAGCATGGCAGCTTTGGTCCCTGCTGTACAGAAGGGTAGGGACGGGCTGGAGAGGGTCAGAAAAGGGCCACAAGGATGATCCAAAGGCCAGGACTGTGCAGCCTGGAGAAGGGAAGGCTCCTGAAGGGGAGACCTTAGAGCAGCTCCAGTGCCTAAAGGGGCTGCAGGAAACCTGGAGAGGGGCTTGGGACAAGGGCCTGTAGGGACAGGCCAAGGGGAATGGCTTGAACCTGCCCGAGGGGAGACTGAGCTGAGCTCTTAGGCAGAAGCTCTTCCCTGTGAGGGTGCTGAGGCGCTGGCACAGGGTGCCCAGAGAAGCTGTGGCTGCCCCATCCCTGGCAATGCTCAAGGCCAGGTTGGACACAGGGGCTTGGAGCAAGCTGCTCCAGTGGAAGGGGTCCCTGCCCATGGCAGGGGTTGGAGCTGCAGGAGCCTTGAGCTGCCTTCAACACAAACCAGGCTGGGGTTCTATGCTCCAGTATTTAAAGGATGAGTACAAAGCAGAGGGAGACTCCTTTTTACAAGGAATCAGGGAAAGGATGGGCACAAGTTACCCTTGGAGAGAGGAAACTTAATGAGAACAACCAGCCGTTGCAATGGTCTCCCCAGGGAAGTGGTGGATTCCCTAACACTAAGCATTGTTAAGGTCCACCTGGACAGGGTGCCAGGACATTTGGTCTAAGCCATGTTTGCCTAGGAAGGGTGGACCTGATGGCCCTTAGGGTTCCTTCCAAGCTGGGATTCTATGAATCCCCCCAGTGAGGAGGGTTCAAATGCAAAGGAAAGTTCAAAGGCATTGAATGTAAGTGGTATGCAAGATCTGTATTTATTTCTCTTTCTGAATCTGTAAGAAAACAGCTTAAAACAGACATCTGGTACTTGAAATCTCTTCCCCATTTTAAATGCAAGATTGCTCCAATAAAAAGGTATTATTTACATTTCATTTCACATCCCAGAAAGACCGAGTGGCTACAAAAATAAGTGCTCTGTTGTAAACACCTCCTACTGACTCCATACTAAATCCTAAGGGATTCTGTAGAGCTATTAGAACTACACAAACACTTCATTATAGCTGCAACTACTTTGAGAATGCCAAAACACCCCAAACCCAAGTAAAACCAACCGGGGTGCACCCACTACCGACAAGTGCACTTGGTGGCTATCATGTCTTCATACTCTTTGTAGACGATGGAGCCGTCGGGCTCTATGGTCAGGACGCTCAGTGGGCTGTATTCAGCAGGAACACAGGAGGGCTTCGGGACAGAGGGGTCCAGTTTCTCATAGATGATGTTCTGAACCATGGTGTGCACAGGAGAGCCGTAACGGTGCCCGACCACCCTTGGGCAGTCCCCTTTGCAGTACTGGGGGCTGTACCGGTGCGGTGCTATGATCCATTTGTCCCATTTGAGCTGGCTGAAGCTCAGGCGGAAGTTGTGAAGCTCACACTCGTTCTGAGGGAACAGGAACTGTTTGAAGTATGCACTCAGGTCAGAGGGTGAAGTTGCTGGTGCATCCTTCCCATTCCCATCTCTCCTCCGCCGAGAGGCCCTTTTGCCCTGGGGAGTCTCTTTTCCTTTGTCACCCAAAGGGTCAACAAGCAGACTGTTCCGTCGCCTGGGCCGCACTGGGATTTTCCTTGTGTGCCTCAGTGAGTTCCACCTGTGGTGAGCTTGCTCACTGGTGTCATTCAGGTAAAGAAGAAGAGAGGGGGGAACCAGTGCCATGTTAACAGGGTTTTCCAGGTTAGTGCTCTGTTGTGGGTCACCCATCAGACAAGTGAAGTTCACAGCCATGTGAATATTCCTCCTGTTAGTAGCGATGAGGGGCTGCAGAAAAGAAGTCACATCAATCTCAACCCACTTGCGTTTTCTGACTTCAAAGTGCAGGCTCAAAGCTACAGCATGAGAGACACTGGGACAGACTTGGCCAGCAAAGTCACGCTCCTTGACAAATAAATGGCACATGCACGTAACTGAAGAGGAGATAGGAACTGAGGTGTCAAAGGAGTAGAGCAGGACAGACTTGAGCAAGTGTTCGAGACCAGTGACACGATCCAGGTTGAAGAGTAAATCCACCAGGTGAATGTCTCCTGAGAAGGGAAATGGCAGTCTTGGAGAGTTAGTGAGTCTTAACATCCACCTAGGCACAAATACTATCATGGGATGGAGAAACAAATGATTCAGCAGCAGATTCTTCCCCAGCAAACATACAAGGCAAGGGGAAAAGTCAGCTTGCAGTGAGATGCTGGCACTTGGTTATGGTGCTGTGGTTTTATGGCCTTGAGTAACCCAAAACAGATGGGCAGCAGAAGGAAACATGGTGCCCATTGTGCCTAACCATCTTTCCTACTTTCCTCACTTTAGTTAGAACTGATTGTAGTTTGACTGAAAGCAAGAGGAGTCAGCCTGAAACATCAGTATCTACAACATAGCACCACTGGTGTGGCATTTCCCAAACTGCCTGCCATTCAGGAAGGAGGAGGTTATGAGAAACTCCTGCAGTTTAAGACAAGAGCCCCCAGGATTAAAATACCAACAGCTCCAAAAATAAGACATTTTATGTTATGCTGCAAGCAGAGAACACAGGGAACCCCCCATTTAAACCTCATCAGCTCCTGTCCCTGCACACCTACCTTTCATCAGGTCCCTGGGGCGCTGCTTGCATTCAGAACAGGGAGTGAAGAGCCGGACAGTGTTGTAGAGGTGGCTTTTGTTGGCCTTTGGGATTCCCTCCTTGGTAGCAGACATCTTATACAGCCTCTTCATGTAGCGAAGGGCCCTAGAGTCCGGCTGCAGCCTGGGGGCCTCGCTTTCCCAGACCTGGTGTTCCCGGTCCGACAGCACCTTGAGGAGGGGAGGCAGGAGGGCATAGCCCCGTCTCACACCTTTGGGCAGCCACAGCAATGGGTTGAGCTCGCTGCTGGTGTCCCCGGAGGCTCCGCGCGCCCTGGAGTGAGGAGAGCCCTGGATGCTAAAAGAAAGCCAGTGAAGGCAGCAGTAGAAGCAAACACAAATCCTCCAGGTACCTGCCATGCTCTTTAGGGTCACAGCCAAAACAGTGCCTCCCCTAAAACGATCAAGTTAAAAGAGAGCTCCTGAGCCTGATCCCTTATATCTGTTGCAGCTGTAGGCTGGGAGGGGGGCTTCTTTCTGATTAGAAACCAAAGGCAAGGATCTGCAGCTGGCTACTTAAACCCCATATTGGCTGCGTTTAGGCTGAAGCCTTCACCCATGAAAGCATCATGACAATCAAAACCCTTACTGGCAGAGTTAACCGTTTTACAGGGTAAGTTATAAAGCTGCAGTGAGCGGCAGCCTCCAGAGGGAGCTGGGCAGACAAGTTAGCATCAGCTGGTCTAACTAAATCCGTGCTTGTTTGCGGATGTATAATGTTAATCTTCCTGGGTTTAGTAGTAATAAGCTAATAGAAGGAGCTGGGTTTCATTTCCTTTTAATGTATTTCTCACATTTCCTTCTCTATAGATTGCAGTATCCACTTGAGAGAGAAGTAACTATGAGGATAGTACCATCGCCCCAGCACACAGCACATCTTTGCCTCCAGTGTGAGGCAAGGCATCCAGAAAGGAGAGTGCTTTTTCAGTGTCAGTATCTGTGGGGTGTGCTCCAAACGGAGCATCAGAAATCCTCACAAACTCCTGGAGCTGAGCAGAACTAAAAGGGTGGCTTTGGGTTTATTCCGTTAGCAATGTGTTTTCATGGCAGTTGGTTTTGCTTAGAGCTCTGCTTGCAGTGATCTGGTGAAAGGGCACTCGTCATCCAGCTTTCACATTCTAAGGCTTCTGAGTACAGCTTGCTGGTTTGAGAGTGCTGTGGATTAGTCCCGCTTTGTGTGAGTTTCAAACAAGTGTATTTCTGCTGCTCCACGACAGTTTGAGCTGCTGTAACCCTGCCCTTTGCCACACGTGCATTCCTGCTCTCTCCTTGGCACTGATTTTTGATGTCATTTGATCCCGTGGTGGGTCCAGCCAGGGAGCTGAAATGGTAGGAAAATAATCCAACAAAAAGCAAGTATTTGCTTTACCTTGCTGAAACCACTGGGCAAGCAGAGAACAATTAAGCCTATCTTGAACAACTCAGGGCTCAACAGGACAGGAGTGGTACTTGTGGATGCTAAAGGCATAGCAGATCCTGAGCTAGCATTCAGTGTGCTGAGTGCCACAACAGCCTTAGGTATTTCTGTATACACACTGGATTGAAGAGGCTATTGCTGAACATGTAGCTTTTGAAACCTGAGTAGACTGAGAAGTTCATGAGAGGACACAATTTAACTGTGGGCTTAATCCCAGCCCTGACCGAGATAGCCCTGCATAGTCTAGTGGCCTGGTCATAAAACTCATCCACATTTGTTAGCCGTCTTATTGGAAACCTAAGCAGAGAAGTCAAGATGCAAACACATCCAGCTTGAACCAATCTGTCAGGCACCTTTCCCAGCTGTAGTGACAGGGAGAAACCAAACACAAACTGCCTCATGCTCTGTTGGCCAGGGCTGGGAGCTGCTGTGGTGATGGCAGGGGACCACCAGCACAACCTCTCCTCATCTCATTGTCAGGCATAGAATCATAGCATCATAGAATAGTTCGGGTTAGAAAGGACCTTAAGATCATCAAGTTCCAACCCCCTGCCATGGGCAGGGACACCTCACACTAAACCATCTCACTCAAGGCCTCGTCCAACCTGGCCTTGAACACTGCCAGGGATGGAGCATTCACAGCCTCCCTGGGCAACCCATTCCAGTGCCTCACCACCCTCACAGGAAACAATTTCCTCCTTATATCCAACCTAAACTCCCCCTGTTTCAGTTTTAACCCATTACC